GACTCAACACTGCCCATAGACTCAACACTGCACCATAGACTCAACACTACCCATAGACTCAACACTGCCCATAGACTCAACACTGCCCATAGACTCAACACTGCCCATAGACTCAACACTACCCATAGACTCAACACTGCCCATAGACTCAACACTGCACCATAGACTCAACACTGCCCATAGACTCAACACTGCCCATAGACTCAGCACTGCCCATAGACTCAACACTGCACCATAGACTCAGCACTGCCCATATACTCAACACTGCCCATAGACTCAGCACTGCCCATAGACTCAACACTGCACCATAGACTCAGCACTGCCCATAGACTCAACACTGCCCATAGACTCAACACTGCCCATAGACTCAACACTACCCATAGACTCAGCACTGCCCACAGACTCAACACTGCCCATAGACTCAACACTGCACCATAGACTCAACACTACCCATAGACTCAACACTACCCATAGACTCAACACTGCCCATAGACTCAACACTGCCCATAGACTCAACACTGCCCATAGACTCAACACTGCCCACAGACTCAACACTGCCCACAGACTCAACACTACCCATAGACTCAACACTGCCCATAGACCCAACACTCCCCATAGACTCAGCACTACCCATAGACTCAACACTGCCCATAGACCCAACACTGCCCATAGACCCAACACTGCCCATAGACCCAACACTACCCATAGACTCAACACTGCCCATAGACCCAACACTGCCCATAGACCCAACACTACCCATAGACTCAACACTACCCATAGACTCAACACTGCCCATAGACTCAACACTGCCCATAGACTCAACACTGCCCATAGACTCAACACTGCCCACAGACTCAACACTGCCCACAGACTCAACACTGCCCACAGACTCAACACTGCCCACAGACTCAACACTGCCCACAGACTCAACACTGCCCATAGACTACCATTACCCATAGATTCAACACTGCCCATAGACTCAACACTACCCATAGACTCAACACTGCCCATAGACTCAACACTGCCCATAGACTCAACACTACCCGTAGACTCAACACTGCCCATAGACTCAACACTGCACCATAGACTCAACACTACCCATAGACTCAACACTGCCCATAGACTCAGCACTGCCCATAGACTCAACACTGCACCATAGACTCAGCACTGCCCATAGACTCAACACTGCCCATAGACTCAACACTGCCCATAGACTCAACACTACCCATAGACTCAGCACTGCCCACAGACTCAACACTGCCCATAGACTCAACACTGCACCATAGACTCAACACTGCCCATAGACTCAACACTGCCCATAGACTCAACACTGCCCATAGACTCAACACTGCCCATAGACTCAACACTACCCATAGACTCAACACTGCCCATAGACTCAACACTGCACCATAGACTCAACACTGCCCATAGACTCAACACTGCCCATAGACTCAGCACTGCCCATAGACTCAACACTTCACCATAGACTCAGCACTGCCCATAGACTCAACACTGCCCATAGACTCAGCACTGCCCATAGACTCAACACTACCCGTAGACTCAACACTGCCCATAGACTCAACACTTCACCATAGACTCAGCACTGCCCATAGACTCAACACTGCCCATAGACTCAACACTACCCGTAGACTCAACACTGCCCATAGACTCAACACTGCACCATAGACTCAACACTACCCATAGACTCAACACTGCCCATAGACTCAGCACTGCCCATAGACTCAACACTGCACCATAGACTCAGCACTGCCCATAGACTCAACACTGCCCATAGACTCAACACTGCCCATAGACTCAACACTACCCATAGACTCAGCACTGCCCACAGACTCAACACTGCCCATAGACTCAACACTGCACCATAGACTCAACACTACCCATAGACTCAACACTGCCCATAGACTCAACACTGCCCATAGACTCAACACTGCCCATAGACTCAACACTACCCATAGACTCAACACTGCCCATAGACTCAACACTGCACCATAGACTCAACACTGCCCATAGACTCAACACTGCCCATAGACTCAGCACTGCCCATAGACTCAACACTTCACCATAGACTCAGCACTGCCCATAGACTCAACACTGCCCATAGACTCAACACTGCCCATAGACTCAGCACTGCCCGTAGACTCAACACTACCCGTAGACTCAACACTGCCCATAGACTCAACACTTCACCATAGACTCAGCACTGCCCATAGACTCAACACTGCCCATAGACTCAGCACTGCCCATAGACTCAACACTGCACCATAGACTCAGCACTGCCCATAGACTCAACACTACCCATAGACTCAACACTACCCATAGACTCAACACTACCCATAGACTCAACACTGCCCATAGATTCAACACTGCCCATAGACCCAACACTGCCCATAGACCCAACACTACCCATAGACCCAACACTACCCATAGACTCAACACTGCCCATAGACTCAACACTGCCCATAGACTCAGCACTACCCATAGACTCAACACTGCCCATAGACCCAACACTGACCATAGACCCAACACTGCCCATAGACTCAACACTGCCCATAGACCCAACACTGCCCATAGACTCAACACTACCCATACACTCAACACTGCCCATAGACTCAACACTGCCCATAGACTCAACACTGCCCATAGACTCAACACTGCCCATAGACCCAACACTGCCCATAGACCCAACACTACCCATAGACTCAACACTACCCATAGACTCAACACTGCCCATAGACTCAACACTGCCCATAGACTCAACACTTCCCATAGACTCAACACTGCCCACAGACTCAACACTGCCCACAGACTCAACACTACCCATAGACTCAACACTGCCCATAGACCCAACACTTCCCATAGACCCAACACTACCCATAGACTCAACACTACCCATAGACTCAACACTGCCCATAGACTCAACACTGCCCATAGACTCAACACTGCCCATAGACTCAACACTGCCCACAGACTCAACACTGCCCACAGACTCAACACTGCCCACAGACTGAACACTGCCCACAGACTGAACACGGCCCACAGACTCAACACTGCCCATAGACTACCATTACCCATAGATTCAACACTGCCCATAGACTCAACACTACCCATAGACTCAACACTGCCCATAGACTCAACACTGCCCATAGACTCAACACTACCCATAGACTCAACACTGCCCATAGACTCAACACTGCACTATTGACTCAACACTACCCATAGACTCAACACTGCCCATAGACTCAGCACTGCCCATAGACTCAACACTGCACCATAGACTCAGCACTGCCCATAGACTCAACACTGCCCATAGACTCAACACTGCCCATAGACTCAACACTACCCATAGACTCAGCACTGCCCACAGACTCAACACTGCCCATAGACTCAACACTGCCCATAGACTCAACACTGCCCATAGACTCAACACTGCCCATAGACTCAACACTACCCATAGACTCAACACTGCCCATAGACTCAACACTGCACCATAGACTCAACACTGTCCATATACTCAACACTGCCCATAGACTCAGCACTGCCCATAGACTCAACACTGCACCATAGACTCAGCACTGCCCATAGACTCAACACTGCCCATAGACTCAACACTGCCCATAGACTCAACACTACCCATAGACTCAGCACTGCCCACAGACTCAACACTGCCCATAGACTCAACACTGCACCATAGACTCAACACTACCCATAGACTCAACACTACCCATAGACTCAACACTACCCATAGACTCAACACTGCCCATAGACTCAACACTGCCTATAGACCCAACACTGCCCATAGACCCAACACTACCCATAGACTCAACACTACCCATAGACTCAACACTGCCTGTAGACCCAACACTGCCCATAGACCCAACACTACCCATAGACTCAACACTGCCCATAGACTCAACACTGCCCATAGACCCAACACTGCCCATAGACTCAGCACTACCCATAGACTCAATACTGCCCATAGACCCAACACTGACCATAGACCCAACACTGCCCATAGACTCAACACTGCCCATAGACCCAACACTGCCCATAGACTCAACACTACCCAGAGACTCAACACTACCCATAGACTCAGCACTGCCCATAGACTCAACACTGCACCATAGACTCAGCACTGCCCATAGACTCAACACTGCCCATAGACTCAACACTGCCCATAGACTCAACACTACCCATAGACTCAGCACTGCCCACAGACTCAACACTGCCCATAGACTCAACACTGCACCATAGACTCAACACTACCCATAGACTCAACACTACCCATAGACTCAACACTACCCATAGACTCAACACTACCCATAGACTCAACACTACCCAGAGACTCAACACTACCCATAGACTCAACACTGCCCATAGACTCAACACTGCCCATAGACTCAACACTGCCCATAGACCCAACACTGCCCATAGACCCAACACTACCCATAGACTCAACACTACCCATAGACTCAACACTGCCCATAGACTCAACACTGCCCATAGACTCAACACTGCCCATAGACTAAACACTTCCCATAGACTCAACACTGCCCACAGACTCAACACTGCCCACAGACTCAACACTACCCATAGACTCAACACTGCCCATAGACCCAACACTGCCCATAGACTCAGCACTACCCATAGACTCAACACTGCCCATAGACCCATCACTGCCCATAGACCCAACACTACCCATAGACTCAACACTGCCCATAGACCCAACACTGCCCATAGACCCAACACTACCCATAGTCTCAACACTACCCATAGACTCAACACTGCCCATAGACTCAACACTGCCCATAGACTCAAAACTGCCCATAGACTCAACACTGCCCACAGACTCAACACTGCCCACAGACTCAACACTGCCCACAGACTCAACACTGCCCACAGACTCAACACTGCCCACAGACTCAACACTGCCCATAGACTACCATTACCCATAGATTCAACACTGCCCATAGACTCAACATTCTACATACATACACGCGTGGTGGCCAGCAGAGGGCAGTGCTAGTAAACATCCAGTGTTGTAAGGCCTGCTTCAGGCATGGATTCTGCTGTGTATCGTTTGCGAGTCTATGGGATCTGTACGAGTGTCAGTGGGGCTTTGCCTCGTTATTCGCGAACTTGATATCCGCGATGTTTGGCCATTCCGCCAGCCACATCTGTAACTCTGCACGACTTCTGCGCCGAGAGAGGGAGACATTGAAGTTGTGAGGTCAAGTGACGAGAGAATGTTACGAGAAATACATTGATGAGAGGCATAGACTCACGTTGAGACCCACAGACTCACGTAGAGACATACATAGAGACCCATAGACTCACATAGAGACATAGACTCGCTTAGAGACCCACAGATCCCCATAGAGACATAGACTCACAGAGAGACCCACAGACTCACATAGAGACCCACAGATTCCCATAGAGACATTCACATAGAGACCCATAGACTCACATAGAGACATATACTCGCGTAGAGACCCACAGATTCCCATAGAGACATAGACTCACATCGAGACATAGACTCACATAGGGACGCATAGACATATACTCCCATAGAGACACAGACTCACGTAGATACCCACAGACTCCCATAGAGATCTTTGGCCGAACATTTAGACGCTAAATGTGAACCGTTGCTGCTTTTGTTGTTGTTGTTGTTTGCGGTAGTCACGAAGGAGCTTCTGGCGCTCAAAGTGCGGCGTGGCAGGCGCGGGTTCCCCGGGGCGACGTTGCCATGGCGAGGCCGTGTCCGTTCTCGGAGGACAACTTCACGCGGCTGGCATCGCAGAGTAACGTCTACGGGCTGGCCGCGTTCCGCACGCCGGCCGCGGGCCCAGAGGCCCTAGTGGCGGCCCTCAAGGGCAAGCTGCTGTCCCTGCGGTATGAGAGGGTCGGCACGCCGGGCCGCCTGCGTGCCGTGGCCAGGGAGGTGCACTTCACCTACATACCCGGTACGAGCCGGGGGATCTGCCTAAGGGGTCTCAGGGTCAGGGTGAGAGTGTCAGGGTGGAGGGGTCTGAGGGAGGTGCCCTGCACCTCCATACTCGGTACGAGCTAAGTGGAGGCCGGGATCTGCCTGGGGGGATTACAAATATTTTTAAACAATTGTTTTTTTTTATTATTGTACCACGCTGATCACATTTGCAATTTTACCTACAGAAGCCGGCCCACCGGCCCTCGTAACGGACCGGCCCCCACCGGGCATTTGCCCCATAGACTGCACCTTTGGCCAGTCCAGGGCCTGCTAGCTATTGACGATGTTGACGGTTCCACTGGACGATGACGGTCACGGGTAACGTCAACGTGCCTTGTTCCCCCAGTGGACGCTGAGATCGTGTCGATCGACGCGTTCTGCAAACCCGCGCCCAGAAGTGGCCTCGTCATCGGAATCACCTTCATCAAGGTGTCTGCTCCCCCGCACGCGCCCTTCAGGGTTAACCTAAAGCGGGAAGGTGGGGGGGCGGGGGGTGGAGGGGAACCTCCGGCGACCCGTGGGACGAGATGGGCCCGCGGGATTTATTTCGTACCGTGACGAAAACGTCCTCAAATTTTTACGTTAGGTTACGATATGTATATACGTTTGTTGCCAGACATAGCTTCCATGGGATTCCAAGACTCGTTTTCGAGGGACCCTCAAAGGGGTATTGTTGACCCATGGAATCAACGAGGGGTTCATGGGTTCCTTTGAATGCAAGGGGAAATCACAGCCCAAGCAGGGCAGATGAGGGAACCCCCTATCCAACAAAACCCGGGTTTTTAAATCCGTGCCTTGCACGACCGCTGAGCCACATGAGGCCTGCCGTTTGGGCACCACGGTGGCTAGGAGATGTTAAATACCTCACCTGGTTTACAGAAGGTCGTTGGTTTGATCCCGATCCTCACGCCTGCTGTATATTTGGATTTGTGTTGCTTTCCAGGGTGCTTAAAAAAATGTTAACACTTCTTAGAATTTGCAACAATTCCACAAGAAATGTGCTGCTGCCTCTGGGCTCTGGGAACCACCTGGAGAAGATCCCAGGCACGCGTTGACAATGATGGCAAACAAGTGGGAGACTCTTTGAGTTTTTGAAGCTATTAACATTACATTTGTATTCATGTTACACTATATGTCACATTAAAAACGATAGTCCCATGTAAGTGTTAACATTTTTTTTGAACTACCCTGTATATTTCCATTATGATACGCCACTTCATTGAGCTATCAATTGTGGCTAGGTTGCTTCTAAGAAAAGAGCTACATAGCTCAGTGGGCCTTACCTGGTAAAATAGAGTTAATAGACAGTTACATCGGAAACTGCCCACAGACGATATTCGTCCGTCACTTCAAGCGCCTTGGTCGCACTAATCGGTTTGGACCTGTGTCTCTGTCCCTCTGTTTCCTCCCGCAGGACTCGGGAGACAAGGCGAGTCCCTTCCTAAACATCTACTGTGACTACGAGCCGGGCTCCGAGTACAATCTTGACTCCATTGCCCGTGAGTCCTGCACTGACCGGCACGGGGAAGGCGGTGACCCCCCCCCCCTCCAACAGAGACACCGAGCGTGGCTCCATGTGTAGTGGCATAGCGCTGCCTGCTGGCAGAAAAATGGGATCTGCGGCGTACGGCAGCCCTGACGTCAGCAGGCCAGGATACACACGAGAGGGGAAAGGTCACAGAAGGGGCCCACCAGGAACCCGCTGGTAGGTTCCAGAAAGGGGGCGTGCCCGGGGGCGGAGCCAGGCTGCGCTGGCAGTATAAAAGGGGCCCCTGTGGGGGACCTCGGGGTTGTCGTTGGAGTGGGATCCCCGTCGTGCTGTCGAAGACCATCGCCGCCGTTAATTCTTCTCGTGGTCTTCACCGTTCTTCTCGTCGTCACCTCCGTCTCTGCCATCTCGGGGCGCCGCCAATCAGGCAGCCTACCAACTGTCCTCGCTGAGTAGCGTCGCCTATAATATACGGACTAAATATGAAGTGTGTGAATCCCGATGGTGCTCGTTAATAAAGAAGTGCCTCCAAGTCTTGTCGGCACTAGACATGCATAAGAATAGTTTTTAATCTTGATCTTTTTTACCCTTTCTGGCAACGAAACAGGGGATGTTGAGATGTCCAAACACCAAACAGAAAAAAAACGTTTGCAAGGAATCGTGTTCACCACACACAGTACTTGCGGTGAACATGCTCTGGTAATACCATGGGCATTGTCTTTGAAGCTGATTGGTCTACGCCAGAGACGGCAGCCTTCTTCAGGGCCTCGTCTCAACCAGAGAACAACGCCTAAAGGCAAACAGCTGTAGACCAATCAGCTTGTTCACCACAAGTACCGTGTGTGGTTACTGCAGAAATTATTCCCTTGCAAAAAGTTTCCGTTTGGTGTTTGAACATCTTAACACATCCTGTTTTATTGCCAGAAAGGGTAAAAACAAATTCTTATACTTTGATACTGGCAAGGGAGGTCCAATGCTGTCTCCATACGTCTCCACTATGTTGCGCTGTCTTCCCGTGTCATCCCGTGTCCCCCTGTCTCTCTGTGTTTACCCCCCCCCCCCCCAACATCCTCCTATGTTTCTGTGTCTCCCCGTGTCCTGTATCCTGTGTCTCTTGTGTCCTGACTCTTTGGATCTACCCCGTGTCCCCCTGCCTGTCTCCCCGTCTCCCTGCATTTCCCTATACCCCCCTGTCTCCACAAGTTTCCGTATGTTCTCCTGAGCCTCGCTTGCGTGTCTCCCATGTGTCTCCGCCTGTCCCCCTTGTCTCCCCGTGAACCCGCAGAGAGCTGCCTAAACCTGGAGCTGCAGTTCATCCCTTTCCAGCTGTGCCACACCGAGTGAGTGACACCACCACGCAAGTGACACCACCACGCATACAGACACACATTCACCTTGCCGCATCCCACTCTCACGACCAACCAACGAACTCGCTTCACCCGTGACCCCTCACACCTTCCCCACTACACCCAACTATCTCACCAACCCCACCTCACCCACCAAACCTCACTCACTCACCTCCTGTCCATGCGTGTCTGCATTTGCATTTATATATATACGTGTGTGTTCTTCTGTGGGTAGTGGTTTGCGACTAGCACACTAACCTGGAAACCCGAGTTGGAATCCCGCTCACGGCCAACACCGGTGACGATTATCTGTACCGTTTCTGGGCCTCCCCTAGGTCGATTCAGCCTCAAATGAATACCTGGTGCGGTGTGTAAACCTCAGCATTGGGGAGAAAAAGGCGGCGGGGGCGTGGCGCTGGCCACCCACCCCCCTCGTATGCCGTGCCGGCCTTCATAGGTGCTCGCTAACAGCGCTTGCCCCTACAGTATGTTAAGGCTACACAGGGGATATTTCTCTTTGTTTTTGTGCGTGTTTGTGTTCACACAGGGTTCAGGATGGGCCCACGAGCGAGACCGTGTTCCTGCTGAGTGGACATGACATGTGTGTCCACGTCTACAAAGAGGTATCGAGATGTCACCTGGATCAACCCCGTCAAATGTTGGGCAGACAGGACGAATGATCAGCACGAGACTAAAAGAACACCAAAGGAATACCTATTACAGTAAAACCTTGGATTGCGAATACCTTGGTCTGTGAGTGTTTTGCAAGATGAGCAAAATTTTTAAATAAATATTAATTTGATAAACGAGCGAGGTCTTGCAATACGAGTAGTACGTATACGCTTTGTCTGCCAAGCGTCACGTGATCACAACTGATATACGAGTGCTTTGATATACGAGTGCCTTGGATTACAAACACGTTTCCCGGAACGAATATGCTCGCAATCCAAGGTTTTACTGTACTCTCAAATACAACTGTCGGCAGTAGCAGAACACGCGTGCCAACAAGGACACTCAATTGATTTTTATCATGTTGAAGTTCTGCGCAAAACTAGTTACTACTGGCCAAGACTAAATAGAAAATCTATCGAAATTGAGAGAAATAAATGTTTTTTTTTAACCTTTCGGATAGCTACAGCCTTAGTGCTGCTTGGAAGCGAATCATGCACGCCTATACTGGCCACCATACTTCAATAGGGATTACGGCTATTTTAGTGCACACAATCGACAGGAAGTTCAAGAACAATAGGCTCGCATAATGCGCGTTGACTCATTAATCCCCGCCTCCCCCCCCAACTTCGCGTAAGAAGGGCGCACAAGTGTCTTCACCACATCCACGCCTCTATATAAGGAAGGAAACACGTGGACTTCTCCACAAATCTGGCTGTCGCCTGATGAAGCTGGTTGTAATTACTGGCGACACGTCGTTCTCAGATTGTAAATGTCGTGGCTTGGCTCTCCAACACGACAACCGGTGTGCTGTACTAGTATACTACACTATACACTACTATACACTACACTATACACTAGTGCTGTACTGGTGACGAATTGGCACGTTCTGTTTACGAGACAAACCTTACTGGTTGGCTGTGTCGGGTGGTGGCGGGTTCAACGACACAACATTTATATATTTACGCGATCCAACCCCAAAAAAAAAAACGATTTCAAATGAAACTACGGACACGTACGGGTGTCCACGGTGGCGGCTGACGCACGCATAGAAAAAAATAAACCCTTGGTGACATGCGCGCACTTGTCTCAAATCTACGACCGTGGGGTTTTAAGAGAGAAACCGAATGTGCCCCGGTCTTTTGCCAACGCGGCGAGGAGACGTTCCGTTGGTCTTTCGGTTGCGTCCGTGGCTGCGGCGGCGTCTCGGCAAACGCCGCTCGTCCCCCGATTTTGCTTCCTGTGACGGCAGAGCGGTACCCAGCATCAGTTTGAGGAGGTTGCCGTGGAGACGTTCTTCCCGGAGCTCACTCAGCTCAGCGGCAAGTGAGTGACGGCAGTGTCAGAGACGCTGAGTAAGTACCGCTGATAATCCTGGGTTTGAACAACGCTGTGAGCATCACAGGCGCCAGCTTTAACAAGCTGGTGCGTGTGCCTGTGTGTGCAATGGTTAGTGCTACGCTGCGCTACGAACCTGGCGAACCGAGTTGGATTCCCGCTCACGGCCAACAACCGGTGGCGATTATCTGAACCGGTCCTGGGCCTTCCCCAGGTCGGCTCGGCCTCAAATGAATACCTGTCATGGTGTGTAGTAAATATCGCTACTAGGGAGACAAAGGCGGTCGGGCGTGGTTTTGGCCACCCACCCCCTCATGTGCCATGCTGCTCACTAACGGCACCTGCCCCAATAGTCTGTTGAAGGCTAAACTAAACAAATCTATTTTTATTTTACCAGGTAAGACCCACTGAGCTACATAGCTCTTTTTCAGAAGCAATCTGGCCACAAATGATAGCCCAACGAAGTGGCTTATCGCGTGGAAATGTATAGCAACCAAATACTCTAAAAAGTACGTTGATTCTAAATGTGGAGAGGAAAAACCGGACGGCCCGGATAAAATTCCACGCGACCACTGGAAGAACATGCAAACTTCAAATATACAACCGACGACCTCCTTGCATACCAGGCGAGGCAGTTAACATCTCGCCACCGCGGCGCCCCTGGGCTGACATGGGGGGAGGTCTTTGTCTCCGCAGCGTGCAGTGGCTGCAGGTGCTGGCGCTGCCGTGTGGGAAGCGGAGGCTCACGGCCGTCGGGAGTCAGAACGGAGCCGTGTCCCTCGCTCTCGTCCAGCTGAGCTCTCGGAGTGCGTCCCGGGGAGACACGTCGTGGGATGCCATTCGGGAGACCGGGGGGGGGGGGGGGGGGTGGGGGAGGGCACACACGGGCAAGAGATGGAATATAGACAGGGAGGCAGGGCGAGACGGAGAAAGACACACGGGGAGACGCGCAGGGACACACGGGGGGGGAGACAGGTGTAGACACACGGACACACAGGATGGACACGGACATACGGGCAGACACACACGGAGAGGCACACGGAGACACACACGGGGACTTATTCAGACCATGCGAGCGTGTGTGTTTGTATCGGGACTATTGCACCTTTGTAGAGACGGCAAACAAATTGCATGCGCGCAACCACCAGCAAGCAACCTCTTCTGTGTGTGTGTGCGTGCCGTGTGCAGCCGTGCTGCAGCGGTGGAGCGTGCAACAGGACGGACCCGTGAGCCACGTGCAGATCTTTCCCACGGGTAAACGAGCGCACACAACCGCTTGCAACCGCACGCAACCGCTTGCAACCGCACGCAATCGCTTGCAACCGCTTGCAACCTCACGCAACCGCACGCAACTGCACACAACCGCACACAACCGCTTGCAACCGCAAACAACCGCATAAAACCGCATGCGACTTTTTGCAACCGCACGCAAATGCACGCAGTCACAGCCCACCGTATGCACGGCTCACCGTAAACAAGTATTCGCGAGTGTCCGTAATGGATGATGATAAATGATTTATTACACTTCGTGCCGTTCGTATAGTGCGGGGCCAAACGCAGACACGTCACGTTTCGCAGACGGGTACGGTGGTGCCAGTAGGGAGCGTAAATCCCCGTTGAGCAATGTGCGGCTGTCGCTTTTTTTCTTCTTCCAAGTTTGGTAAATTTTGGACCGTGACGCAGGCACACGATGGCCTCCTCGTTTCGGATGACCGCCGCGGGACCTTTAACGTCCGTCGTGAAGCCGGACGACGCCGCGTCTCGATGACATCAGCACGCCCGCAGTGTTAACCGGGGCGGCCTGTCGATCTCGACCCTCGAACCTCCCCACCGCCGCACCTCCGATTAGCGCGGTTGGCTACGTACGGCGCGAAATAAGTTCTACGTGCGTACGTACAGAAGTGGGAACGCACTCCCGCTGGGCCATGCTGACGCACCCGGTCTCCGCTTGCGTCCCCGCGTGAGCAGATCCGCACGGCGAGGCCGCTGACGAGCTGCCTTCCTTCCACCTGCTGGTAGCGAGCGCCATCGAGACGAGCGTCGTGTACAGGTGTGTACAGGTGTGTACAGGTGTGTACAGGTGTGTACAGGTGTGTACAGGTGTGCGTCCGCCACCACCGCCGTCCCCCCCACCACCACCACCACCTCCTTGTGTGTGCACTCCGTCGTCGAGCGTCTCGTAACGTCTCGTTTATACAGCTCTGCACCCTCTGTTTTGCTCGTTACCGTCTGTACTCATTGGTTCTTTCGGTAAAGTCACGTATGTAGAAATCAAATTTAATTAAAATAAATCACGACGTTTCGAACGCAACACAAGCGCTCGTCGTCAGGTGAAAATGGCATAAACCACACACAGAGGGACATCACACACAGCCAGGGACATCACACACAGAGGGACATCACACACACAGAGGGACATCACACACAGAGAGACATCACACACAGAGGGACATCACACACAGAGGAACATCACACACAGCGAGGGACATCACACACAGAGGGACATCACACACACAGAGGGACATCACACAGAGGGACATCACACAGAGAGGGACATCACACAGAGAGGGACATCACACAGAGAGGGACATCACACACAGAGGGACATCACACACAGAGGGACATCACACACAGAGGGACATCACACACAGAGGGACATCACACAGAGAGGGACATCACACACACAGCGAGGGACATCACACACAGAGGGACATCACACACAGCGAGGGACATCACACACAGAGGAACATCACACACAGAGGGACATCACACACAGAGGAACATCACACACAGCGAGGGACATCACACACAGAGGGACATCACACACACAGAGGGACATCACACAGAGGGACATCACACAGAGAGGGACATCACACAGAGAGGGACATCACACAGAGAGGGACATCACACACAGAGGGACATCACACACAGAGGGACATCACACACAGAGGGACATCACACACAGAGGGACATCACACAGAGAGGGACATCACACACACAGCGAGGGACATCACACACAGAGGGACATCACACACAGCGAGGGACATCACACACAGAGGGACATCACACACAGAGGGACATCACACACAGAGGGACATCACACACAGAGGGACATCACACACAGCGACAGACATCACACACAGAGAGACATCACACACAGAGAGACATCACACACAGAGGGACATCACACACAGCGAGAGACATCACACACAGAAAGACATCACACACAGAGGGACATCACACACAGAGGGACATCACACACAGAGAGACATCACACACAGAGAGTCATCACACACAGAGGGACATCACACACAGAGGGACATCACACACAGAGGGACATCACACACAGTGAGACATCACACAGAGAGAGACATCACACACAGAGGGACATCACACACAGAGAGAGACATCACACACAGAGGGACATCACACACAGAGGGACATCACACACAGAGGGACATCACACACAGCGAGGGACATCACACACAGCGAGGAACATCACACACAGAGAGACATCACACACAGAGAGAGACATCACACACAGAGAGTCATCACACACAGAGAGGGACATCACACACAGAGAGACATCACACACAGAGGGACATCACACACAGAGGGACATCACACACAGCGAGGGACATCACACACAGCGAGGAACATCACACACAGAGAGACATCACACACAGAGAGAGACATCACACACAGAGAGTCATCACACACAGAGAGGGACATCACACACAGAGGGACATCACACACAGAGAGACATCACACACAGAGAGAGACATCACACACAGAGAGACATCACACACAGAGGGACATCACACACAGCGAGGGACATCACACACAGCGAGGGACATCACACACAGCGAGGGACATCACACATAGAGAGGGACATCACACACAGAGAGACATCACACACAGAGAGACATCACACACAGAGGGACATCACACACAGAGGGACATCACACACAGAGGGACATCACACACAGAGGGACATCACACACAGCGAGACATCACACACAGAGAGAGACATCACACACAGAGGGACATCACACACAGAGGGACATCACACACAGAGGGACATCACACACAGCGAGGGACATCACACACAGAGGGACATCACACACAGAGGGACATCACACACAGAGAGACATCACACACAGAGGGACATCACACACAGAGGGACATCACACACAGAGGGACATCACACACAGCGGGACATCACACACAGAGGGACATCACACACAGAGAGAGACATCACACACAGAGAGACATCACACACAGAGGGACATCACACACAGAGAGACATCACACACAGAGAGACATCACACACAGAGAGGGACATCACACACAGAGGGACATCACACACAGAGGGACATCACACACAGAGGGGCATCACACACAGAGAGAGACATCACACACAGAGAGACATCACACACAGAGAGACATCACACACAGAGAGACATCACACACAGAGAGGGACATCACACACAGAGGAACATCACACACAGAGGGACATCACACAGAGGGACATCACACACACACAGAGACATCACACACAGGGCACACCGAGAACGGCAAACTGCACAGAGATGTTACCGTCTGGTTCGTTTGATTTGTCTCGCCTCCATCGGTTTGTCTCCCTGAGATTTGTTACGTCTGGCTTGCATTGCCGTCTGCCTCGTGGGTACTGTCTCAGCTGTACTGACTGCCACGTGTGTACTGTCTTGGTTGTACTGTCTGCCACGTGTGTACTGTCTTGGTTGTACTGTCCATCACGTGTGTACTGTCTATCTCTTGCCATCTCTATTCAGTCTCGTCTGTGCTGTTTCATTTGCATCGCCCATCTCATCCATATTGTCCCGTTGGGCTCCGCCGTCAAAAAATCTTGTGGCTGGGCCGGTGTGCTGCTGCTGTGGTGGTGGTGTGCTGCTGCTGCTGCGGTGTGCTGCTGCTGTCGCTGTGGTGTGCTGCTGCTGTCGCTGCGGTGTGCTGCTGCTGTCGCTGCGGTGTGCTGCTGCTGCTGTGGTGTGCTGCTGCTGTGGTGTGCTGCTGCTGCTGTGGTGTGCTGCTGCTGCTGTTGCGGTGGCACTGCCAGGGACGTGCTGGTGCGGGGACTGAGCGACCAGGCGGTGCTGCCGGGCAGTGACCGCTACGACAGCGTGCTGTGCGCGCTCGTTTGTGACGTCGACTGCGACGGCCAGGACGAGATCCTGCTGGGCACCTACGGGCAGGTGGGGGGGGGTGTGCGTGGGGGGGGGGGAGTGTGGGGGGGGGGGGCGTGTGTGTGTGTCTGTGTGTCTGTGTGGGGAGCGGTAGTGTAGCGGTTAGCGCTACGAACCTGGCGACCCGGGTTCGATTCCCGCTCACAGCCAATACCGGTGACGATTATCTGAACCGGTCCTGGACTTCCCCTAGGTCGACTCGGCCTCAAATGAGCACCTGGGTGAGGTGTGTAAACATCGCCACTGGGGAGACAAAGGCGGCCGGGCGTGGTGTTGGCCACCCACCCCCTTCATAGGTGCTCGCTAACAGCACTTGCCCCAACAGTCTGTTAAGGCTACATGGGGGATCTTTGTTTTGTGGGTAGCACAGGGGGCGGGGAGCGTCAGTGCAACAGTTGGTGCGCTGCGCTACGAACCCGGCGACGCAGCGGTGTTAAATGTTTTGGCCTCCAGCTCGACCTCGTGATACGGGCAACGGATGGGGCTGGCAGAGGGTGCTGCCATGTGCCTCGGTTGAGCCCCCCAGAAATGTGGTAGCTTTTAAGACATCCCTCCCTTTATCGCATTCCCCGCTCCCTCTCCCCACTCTCTCGTCTCTATCCATCTCGTCTGTGCTCTCCTCTCTCTCCGTCTCTTTTCTCTCTCTCTCCCTCTTCCCTCTCCACTGCTCTCACCTCCTCTCCCATTTCTCTCCCTTCTCCCCCCCCCCCCGCGTCTTTCCCATCCCTCTCTCTCTTCCATACTGGTAACAGGTCCGCATCGTAAATGAGCATGAATTTGCCCCATGGGTTTTACCTTTTGCCAAAATTAAACCTAAACCTTTATCTCTCTCTCTCCCCTCTCTCTCTCCCCCCTCTCTCTCCCCTCTCTGTCTCTTTCCCCTCGCTCTCCTCCTTTTCTCTCTCTCCCCCCTCGCTCTCTCTCCTCCTTCACTCTCTGCCCTCTCTCTCTCCCCCCTCTCTCCCCTCTCTGTCTCTTTCCCCTCGCTCTCTCTCCTCCTTCTCTCTCTGCCCTCTCTCTGCCCTCTCCCTCTCCCCCCGTCTCGCCGTCCACAGGAGCTTCTCTGCTTCAAGGAGAGCGGCGGCGGCGGCGGCAAGGCTGGCGTCAGCGGGGCGGGCGGGCGCGAGTGGAACCTAGCCTGGCGCCGCTGGTTCCCGGGGCCCCTGCTGGCGCTGGCCCTGGTGGACGTGACGCGCGACGGGCTGCGTGATCTCCTCGCCGTCACCATCAAGGGTCTGCACGTCTTGCAGGTGGCGCCAGCCTCAGAGCCCCCCCCCCCCCGCCCCCCCCCCCCCCCCCCGTCTCTCTCTGTTTGACACGGAGGCTTTCGTGAAGCGAGCAGGAGGATGTCTCCACAACTGTCTGGATGTCCACCTGATGATGCTGCTGCCGCCGCTCGTCACTGTTGTAATTACCGGCGGCGAAAACGTCGCGGCTACTCGAATTGTAAACGTTGTCGTGGGTTTACTTTCCAACACACAACCTGTGTGCTGAGCTAGTGACGAATTGGCCACGCTCTGTTTACGTGACAAACCTTACCAGTTGGCTGTGTTGGGTGGTGGCGAGTTTACAGACACATTTTTTTTATATATCTACGCGATCGAACCCAAAAGCCTCTATTATGGACCTTCTCTCGCTCTCACGCTCCCAGCAAGCGAGAGACGCCTGCGCAGAGCGCAGATTCGGCACGAAGTTGGAACTCTGCTCTCGGGGTCCAGGCCGGAGCGCTTGGCGGGATTGCTCCTCGAGCAGTCGGGGTGACATCTTTCATTCTTCCTCTCTCTCTCTCTCTCTCTCGTACGGCCGACCCGTGATGTTAGACGCAGAGAGCCGCAACGACGAGACTGCAGTTTCACATTCGGGTGGTCAGGGCCCCACGAGCGCGTCGGGAGTGGCGGAGTGGCTTCGCCGTTGGCGTCTCCCAATTCGTATTTGTGGATCGGGGCGATTGGTGATCCAGGACCCGGCGCTTCGCTCGAGCCGCTCGCCGGCGATCGTTCCCGGTCAATTTATTAAAATTATTTTGTGCTTTCCCCCAAGGGAGGTGCCCAGTTACTGAGGGTGTGGGATGGTGGGCGGTGGGGGGAGCGAGCGACGGGAACCCCGATCCAGCAGTGACCGAGAGCGTGGACGCGAGAGAATATCCCCCCCCCCCTCTAGTCGATCGGTCAATCTTCATTTTCACGTGCCAATATCGCCGTCAATAAAGCAGGCACCGGTACACATTTACAGCAGAACGGGAACGGTGCAGGGTGGGGTTGGGGTGGGGGGGGGGGCGGTAGAGCAACGGGACCTGATTTCGGTGCGGCCGAAGATGCTTGCCGCGGATGGATAAATGTCGTGAGCGGGTCTCGCGCGGCTAGCCCGGTGTGGCCCGTGGAGCCGGGACCGCGCCACGGGGCCGTGTGAAAGTGAAGTCGCGAGCCCGGTGTGACCCGTGGAGTCGGGGACCGGGCGCTCCTCTCTGCTTTCCGCTCCGCCGTTACGGCCACGCGGGGCGGCCGCTTTGCCGAACCCCCGCGTCCCGTTCCCTCCGCCTCGCTTGAGAAACGTGCGTTTCAGGGCGTTTCAGGGCGTTTCGGGGCGTTTCGGGGCGTTTCGGGGCGTTTCGGGGCGTTTCGGGGCGTTTCGGGGCGTTTCGGGGCGTTTCGGCTTCGTGGAGCTGTCGTTTGTGGCCAGGGTTGCTTCTGAAAATAAAAAGAGAAGAGCTGTAGAGCTCAGTGGGCCTTACCTGGTAAAATAAAATAAAAAATATTTGAATAGTTTGTCGTGGTGCAAGGAGGAGCGAGATGGATTGCGGCGTCAAAGGACCACAAGGGAGGAAGACAAAATGGAGAGGCCATCATCCAACGGTGGCTAAATTGTCACTCATGACGATGATGACGACGACGACGACGATGATGAAGAACCCTACTGAAGTCCAGAAGTCTTTCCAACTCGGTGGGCCTTTCCTGGTTATAATCTTTTTAAAAATAGTTTGGTGTAGCTATCCCGTGTCCCCCCCCCCCCTCCCCCCCCCCAGTTTGACCTGGAGAAGGCCGCCGACATCCTGCTGAGCCGCCTGCAGGCGTTGGGGTCGGCGGAGGAGGCCGCGAAGATCGGAGGTCGTGGGCCACGCGACGAAGGGGGCTGCGGAGACGCGGCCGCCGAGACGTCGCCATGAGGAGCACACGGTAACGCCGGCGGATTCGGTTTTACACCTAGCAGGGGGCTTTTGCGATCAATATCGTCCATAATAGAGGTTTTATTTTTTTGGGTTTGATCGCGTAAATATAGAAATGTGTCGTTAAACCCGCCACCACCCGACACAGCACACCGGTGTGTTGGAGAGCCAAGCCACAACATTTACAATCATAGTGCAGTGTGTAGTGTAGTGTATAGTGTAGTGTAGTGTATAGTGTAGTGTATAGTGTAGTATACTAGTACAGCACACCAGTGTGTTGGAGAGTAAACCCACAACATTTACAATTATAGTGTAGTGTGTAGTGTAGTGTATAGTGTAGTGTATCGTGTAGTATACTAGTACAGCACACCGGTGTGTTGGGGAGCAAAGCCACAACATTTAAATTCTGAGCACGACATGTCACCTGTAATTACAACCGACATCGTCTGGATTCCGTCCACTCGTCGTCGTCAGGACAGAAAGCTTTCCCCTCCCCGAGCCATCGCCCACCTCTCTCATACTGCTGGGTAACGATCCACCTCATCTCTCATCTCCCGTCTCCCACATCTCCCATCTCCCCTGGTGTGTTCCGTCGCTTTGGCTGCCCACTCTCTCCGACTTCATCACGGTTGGCTACGTACGGTCGCGAGAGAAGTTCCTGGTGCGTCCACTCCGTTTCTCCTCTCCCACATCGCACCAAGCCCCCGGCTGACTTTTCTTCCCTCGTTTCAATCGAAGTCATTCTCGGATCCATTGCCTCCTCTTCCACTCTCTCTCTCCGCATGTAAACTCCCACCACGCTCGTCTCTCCGTTGTCCCGCGTGCGCGCTTTTCCGCCTTCGTCTTGGGCAACGCCGGTGAGTCACCACGTCCCGTTGTTAAGACGCGTGTCGCGAGTTGGTCAACGGTCGCTCGTTGAGGAGACCGGACGTGGCGGGACATCAAACCCGTGCGTGGGAAGAGGATGCGCTGCGTGCGTGCGACCCTTTTACGTGGCCGCCTCGAGTGCACCTAGCCTGGCACGAGTGCCGTTTAGATGACCATTATCGGTTGTCTACGCGACCCTCTCGTGCGCTGTGAACGCCTCAAAGAGGTGCCCGCTAACGTCGATTGCCCCAAAAGTCTCAGGGACGATCGTCGCTTTGCACGTGCCCGTTGTGTTCGCGCCTGTGTAGCTTTGTGTAGCTTTGTGTAGCTTTGTGTGTGTGTTTATAGTAAGCAGTAGCACAGTGGTTTATGTCACTGCCAACATCGGTGATAAACAATATCTGAACCGGGCCCGAGTTTGACTTCAGCAAAACTCTTTAGATTTTACCAGGTTAAAGCCCCACTGAGCTACGTAGCTCTCTTACAGAAGGGACCCGGCTATCGCAAACTACAAATCTACAGCAGCGGGCGTCAGGGTTGGGATCGAACCCACGACCTCCTGCATACCAGGCAAGGGAGTTAACATCTCATGCCCACCCTGGCACCTCGTGTTGTGTGAACATCAGCACTGAGGAGACGGAAAGGCGATCTGTGTACAGTGCTGGTCACGCCACTCCCCCCTCATCACGGGCACTGTACTGGTCGTCATCGGCGCTCGCTAACAGTGTTTTGTTGTCGTCGTTGTTTGTACCGCAGTCGCTGGTGACCATCGACTTGCGCCGCACTCGAGAACGACGGCTTAACCAAGGGTGCCCGAAACGCGGACGTTGACCCCCAGGATCTCGGCGGTCGCCGGCCTTCGTTGGCAGCGTCGCCGGCACGGCATGTCGTGAACCGGGCGTGAGACGCAACCGCCAGCCGGCCACCGCAGCCGGGGGCTCGCGCGTGGGCCGGACCAGCTCTTGCAACTTCCTTTGTCTTTGGGCGCGATTCATTCCTAGACTGCGGTCAGAACTCTTCTTGACGACCCAAGCGGGAGGACGACTTCTTCGCAAGTCGCCCCCATGGTGCCGGTCGTGGTAATCGCCAGCGAATCGTCATGCTGGAATTGTAAACGTCGTCCGTTTTACTCCACAACGCACAACCGGTGTGCCGCAGTAAACTAATTGGCACGTTTTGTTTCCGTGACAAGCCTCGGTAATGGGCTTTGTCGGGTGGGTGGCGGGTTTAACGGCACATTAATATTTACGCGATCTAACCCGAAAAAAAACCTTGAAACGTAAAACTCTTCTCTGCTAGATCCTAAAATCCACCCCCACCCGTGAACGGGACTCCAAAAGTAACAAGCACAGAGCCTTCTTGTGTCTATCCACTGCTGGATGAGGCCCTCCCCCCATGTCTAAAGCAACCCTGTTGCACATGCTGGGAGCCCCATCATCCTCTATCCAGACTCGTCCCCACTTCGCTTCCGGGATCTTGACGGCGACGGAATTCGTGGGTGACGAATTCGGGGGCGATTTAAGGCTTAGGGGGCCTCCTAATATCTGGGGACAAACACCGATAAATTGGATACTTTCTGCGCATCTTGGGAGACCACCTAGCCCAAGGTGTCTCGTGGCCTAGAAATAAATGCGCACAATCGGTGGATGAATTCGCTCTGTGGTCACTCCTGTTGTCCGTGTGAAAGTTTACAATCGGAGTTGTCGGTCTGCGGATGAAAGGAATTTTTGTAGCCGGATGGGGCCGCCGGATAACAGGGGAGGTCGATCTGGCAGTCTCGCACGGCTGCAGTGGCCAGAAGACACGGAAAGAAACGTCCACGGTCCGTCACGGCCAGTGCGGCCGCCACCTTTTATTCACCACAACCACAGTCCACTCGACCACCAACCACTGACCACCCCCCCACCCCCACTCGCCATGAATCACGTGGCTCACCACCACACAGCCACTCAAGTGGCTCACCACAAACCATACCCCACCTCTCCCACCTCACCATCACTAACCACACCACCAACTGCAAAATCGCCGCCACTCTACGATAGCCGGCGTCAAAAAAACCGTGCCACGCGCCCTCCCGGGTGGCCCTGCTTGCAGCCTCTGTGCCGACAGTTTATTTTATACTTTATGGAATGGAACTGGAAGAAAAACTGATGACCGTACCCACCGACTACGTCATTGGGAACGGGAAAGGGGGTGGAACGACGCAATTGTCTCCTTGTGGCCGATTGAGGGAGGTCTGCGTCGGGTGCGGAGAGGCAGGGAGGTGGTGACGAGTTGGAGTTTGAAGCGGCAGAAAGAGCATCCTCGGAGGCTGAGCACACAGCCAGCAAGGCAACGCACGCACACACGCCCTCCTGGGGAGGTGAGCCTCGCACGTTGAACGGGTGATTTATAAAGATTATCAGGGTGGTGGTTATCTTTGTTTTTATCTTTCCCCATCGCCAAGGGAAGAGGTCCAGCAGCTTTTCTTTGGAAAGCGTCGCTCATTTTTTGCTGCCGCTCCGCGTTCTGGTGATACGTCCAGAAAACCGATTGTCGAGCTTTTCACTCCCGCACCCACGCCAGGGATTGTCACGATTCGCTTGCCCACCGGTCCTGGGCCTCCCCTAGGTTGACTCGGCCTCAAATGATTTTCGATTCAAGAATCGATAATTTTTTCTCTCTTCTAGTTTGTGTCGTCTAACTCTTGGCTTCATTGTTTTATTTGGTACGACGAGCGGTAACGGCCTGTAACACACGATTATAATTTTATACGACTCAAAGCCACGGCCAGCATCGGAGGACGAGTGATATCCGAACTAGTCCCGCCGGGCCCCGCCATCACCAACCGGCCCTCACCAGCAAGGTGAAGTATGGTCAAACCATCCCCCATGACACGATGCAGGGAGGGGCCTTCACCCAGCAGTGGATTGACAACAGGAGCTGTAAATTATCATTCGAAGTACGTTTTCACACGTACCGGAATCGATTGAGCCGGTGAATCATTACACGCTTAACATACCCACACACACACACCCACGCACACCCCAAAACACATCGTCCCTCAACCCAACACCCCCAGCACGGAGCAGGCACCGCAGCCGAGCGCGGCGATGACCCTGGCGGCCATGTTGCTGCCCCCCTATTCATCCTCCGCTGGCCGACGAGGCCCGCCGATCAGGCGTACATGGTCAGCTGCAGCCACTGTGGGGCGGGGTGGGGAGGGGTGGGGAGGGCAACACGACGGGCGACTTAAAGAGGTGAACGCGTCCACTCCCGACGGCCGCACCACAACAACACCGCTCGCTCTGTGTGCGTGCGTTTGTCCGGCGGTGGCCTCTCGTCTCACCTCGAGCACGTTCAGCTTGATGGTGCCGTCCCCGTCCCGGTTGTAGGCTTGGAAGGCGCCTGCGGCACAAACACGTGGCGGTGGTGGGGGAGGGGGGGGGGGAGGTGAGAGCCAGGGTCCGCGAGTTTGTGAACTGATGCACCCGGCCCGGGTGAATCGCCGTGGTGACGTCACAGCATGCATGCTAGGGGGCAGTGTTGAGTCTATGGGCAGTGTTGAGTCTATGGGCAGTGTTGACTATGGGCAGTGTTGATTATGGGCAGTGTTGAGTCTATGGGTAGTGTTGAGTCTATGGGCAGTGTTGAGTCTGTGTGCAGTGTTGAGTCTGTGGGTAGTGTTGAGTCTATGGGCAGTGTTGAGTCTATGGGCAGTGTTGATTATGGGCATTGTTGAGTCTATGGGTAGTGTTGAGTCTATGGGCAGTGTTGAGTCTATGGGCAGTGTTGAGTCTATGGTGCAGTGTTGATTATGGGCAGTGTTGAGTCTATGGGTAGTGTTGAGTCTATGGGCAGTGTTGAGTCTGTGTGCAGTGTTGAGTCTATGGGCAGTGTTAGTCCATGGGAAGTGTTAGTCTATGGGAAGTGTTGAGTCTATGGGAAGTGTTAGTCTATGGGTAGTGTTAGTCTATGGGAAGTGTTAGTCTATGGGTAGTGTTAGTCTATGTATAATCTGTATGTTGAACTTCTTTCGCACCATATGTAGCCAACCGTACGCATGGTCTTCGTGTGAACACACACACGTACGTGCCCGCCTTCACGTGCGCCCGTTATCGGCACTCGCCCCCAACAGTGTGTCGAGGCTTACACGTGGGAGAGGGGGGTCGGCTCCTTCCGTGTCTGCGCGTACGTACGGAACATGGCCTCCAGGCGAACGAGGCAGCAGATGAAGTTGTCGAAGTCGACGGTGCCATCGTCGTCCGCGTAGCGGAGCGTGACGACGCGCAGCAGCTGCTCGTTCAGCTTGAAGCCTGGGAAACACGACGGCCGTGTGGGAGATCACGGTTGTCTGTGTGTGTGCGTGTGTGCGTGCGTGTGCGTGTGCGTGCGTGTGCTTGCTCGCGTCCATGTCACCTGCGGGGGGCGGTAGTGTAGTGGTTAGCGCCACGCTGCGCTACGCACCCCGGCGACCCGAGTTCGATTCCCGCTCACAGCCGACTTCCGGTGACGATTATGTGAACCGGTCCCGGGCCTCCCCTAGGGCGACTCAGCCTTAAATGAGTACCTGGTGCGGTGTGTAAACATCGCCACTGGGGAGACAAAGGCGGCCGGGCGTGGTGCTGGCCACCCACCCCCTCGTGTGCCATTCCGGCCTTCATAGGTGCTCGCTAACAGCACGTGCCCCAAGTCTGTTACAGGCTACCCGCTGTATGTGCGGGTGTTGCTGCTGCTGTGTGTGTTTACCTGTGTAGGTGTGTGTGGTTACCTGTGTAGGTGTGTGTGGTTACCTGTGTAGGTGTGTGTGGTTACCTGTGTAGGTGTGTGTGGTTACCTGTGTAGGTGCTGCTGTGTGTGTGGTTACCTGTGTAGGTGTGTGTGGTTACCTGTGTAGGTGTGTGTGGTTACCTGTGTAGGTGTGTGTGGTTACCTGTGTAGGTGTGTGTGGTTACCTGTGTAGGTGCTGCTGTGTGTGTGGTTACCTGTGTAGGTGTGTGTGGTTACCTGTGTAGGTGTGTGTGGTTACCTGTGGAGGTGTGTGTGTTTACCTGTGTAGGTGTGTGTGGTTACCTGTGTAGGTGTGTGTGTGTGTTTACCTGTGTAGGTGTGTGTGGTTACCTGTGTATGTGTGTGTGGTTACCTGTGTAGGTGTGTGTGGTTACCTGTGTAGGTGTGTGTGGTTACCTGTGTAGGTGTGTGTGTGGTTACCTGTGTATGTGTGTGTGGTTATCTGTGTAGGTGTGTGTGGTTACCTGTGTAGGTGTGTGTGGTTACCTGTGTAGGTGTGTGAAGTTATCTGTGTAGGTGCTGCTGTATGTGGTTACCTGTGTAGGTGTGTGTGGTTACCTGTGTATGTGTGTGTGGTTACCTGTGTAGGTGTGTGTGGTTACCTGTGTAGGTGTGTGAAGTTATCTGTGTAGGTGCTGCTGTATGTGGTTACCTGTGTAGGTGTGTGTGGTTATCTGTGTAGGTGTGTGAAGTTATCTGTGTAGGTGTGTGTGGTTACCTGTGTAGGTGTGTGTGGTTACCTGTGTAGGTGTGTGTGGTTACCTGTGTAGGTGTGTGTGGTTACCTGTGTAGGTGTGTGTGGTTACCTGTGTAGGTGTGTGTGGTTACCTGTGTAGGTGTGTGTGGTTACCTGTGTAGGTGTGTGAAGTTATCTGTGTAGGTGCTGCTGTATGTGGTTACCTGTGTAGGTGTGTGTGGTTATCTGTGTAGGTGTGTGAAGTTATCTGTGTAGGTGTGTGTGGTTACCTGTGTAGGTGTGTGTGGTTACCTGTGTAGGTGTGTGTGGTTACCTGTGTAGGTGTGTGTGGTTACCTGTGTAGGTGTGTGTGGTTACCTGTGTAGGTGTGTGTGGTTACCTGTGTAGGTGCTGCTGTGTGTGTGGTTACCTGTGTAGGTGCTGCTGTGTGTGTGGTTACCTGTGTAGGTGTGTGTGGTTACCTGTGTAGGTGTGTGTGGTTACCTGCACTATCCAGTGCTGGTCCCAGCTCAGAGGCGGACATTGAGCCACTGCGATCTGCATCGTACTGCTTGTATATGTTCTGCAAAGACAAAGATTCCCCGTATCGACTGTTGGGGCAAGTGCTGTTAGCGAGAAGCACCTATGAAGGCCGGAACGGCACACGAGGGGGTGGGTGGCCAGCACCACGCCCGGCCGCCTTTGTCTCCCCAGTGGCGATGTTTACACACCGTACCAGGTACTCATTTGAAGCTGAGTCTACCTGCGGGAGGCCCAGGACCGGTTAAGATAATCGTCACTGATGTGGGCAGTGAGTAGTGCAGTGCAATAACCACTGCACCACCGCTCCCGAAGGGGTATGTATACATACACAAGCACATTCAATACACATTTACACACACACACATTCACACACACACATTTACACAAAAAGATCCCCCGTATAGCCTTGACAGACTGTTGGGGCAAGTGCTGTTAGCGAGCACCTATGAAGGCCGGAACGGTACACGAGGGGGTGGGTGGCCAGCACCACGCCCGACCGCCTTTATCTCCCTAGTGGCAATGTTTACACACCGCACCAGGTACTCATTTGAGGCTGAGTCGACCTAGGGGAGGCCCGGGACCGGTTCAGATAATCGTCACTGGTGTTGGCCGTGAGCGGGAATCGAACCCGGGTCGCCAGGTTCATAGCGCAGCGCGCTAACCGCTACACTATCGCTCCCCACATTTACACAGACACATTCACACACACACACATTTACACACACACATTCACACGCACACACATTCACACAAACACATTCACACATTTACACACACATTCACACGCACACTTTCACACGCTTTCACATACACACTTTCACACACACATTCACACATTCACACACACACTTTCACACACATTTAAACACACACATTTACACACATTCACACACATTTACACACACCCAGTCACACATTCTCTTGCTCTTCCCCGAGGCGGTGCCGCGCCTTGCCGGGCGTGAGTGGCCGGCTGAGCCGGTTGAGATTCCGAGCCCTTTCCCGACGCTTGGCCCCACCCGAGCCACCGGAGACTCATCGGCAGGGGCGCCACGGTGGCTAGGAGCTGTTAACTCCCTCGCCTGGTATACAGGAGATCGTGGGTTCAATCCCAACCTGCTGTGTATTTGGAGTTTGCGTGTCTCTCTCTCTCAGCATCATCACGGTGGCTAGGAGCTGTTAACTCCCTCGCCTGGTATACAGGAGGTCGCGGGTTCAATCCCAACCTGCTGTGTATTTGGAGTTTGCGGTGTGTCTCTCTCCCCGTGGTCGCGTGGATTTTTATCCGGGTTCTCCGGTATTTCCCTTCCCCATTTAGAATCAACGTCACGCGGTTTAAGACTATTTTGCTGCTGCTGCTATAAATTTCCACACGACGACAAGCCACGTGGTTGAGCTATCATTTGTGATGGCTATTGGGTCGCTTTTGAAAAATATCTACGGAGCTCAGTGGGGCCTTGCCTGGTAAAATAAAATAAAGTTTAGTTGACCATCGCTGTCGTCTTGTCCCTTCCGTCAGCGACGAAGGGACCCCCCCCCTTCCCCCTCCCCCCCCCCCCAAAGGATTTCTGCCGTGGTTCCGTCTCTAATCTAAACTCACTCAACTCCATTGTTCCCAACGTCTCTGGGCCCACAGACAAACGTCGGAGTGTAGTCCGCTCCACCGCGCCACCGCTGATGGGATTTTGCAGCAATCAAAATCTACCCGAGAGCGTCCGCTCAAAAAGCCGGACACACGCTGCACCGGATACTCGTTTAAGGCTGAGTCGACCTAGAGGAGGCCCAGGACCGGTTTTTAATATTTCCCTGACATCGGCCTTGTGTGGCAATCGAACTCGGGTCGCCGGGTTCGTAGCGCAGCGCTATAACCGCTGCACTACCGCTCCTCCATACACACACATCACTCACACACACACACATCACTCACACACACACATCACACACACACACATCACTCACACATCACTCACACACACACATCACTCACACACACACATCACACACACATCACTCACACATCACTCTCACATCACTCTCACATCACTCTCACACACACACATCACACACACCACACATCACGCACACCACACACACACCACACATCACACACATCACTCTCACACACACACATAACACACACACACACAACACTCACACACACCTGCCAGGACTTGGCCTTGTTCCACACACACACCACACACATCACACACACAACACACACATCACTCACACACACACAACACACACATCACACATCACACACACGCACATCACACACATCAAACACACACATCACTCTCACACACACATCACTCACACACACACACATCACTCTCACACACACCTGCCAGGACTTGACCTTGTTCCACACACACACCACACACATCACACACACAAACAACACACACATCACTCACACACACACATCACTCTCACACACACACATCACTCACACACATCACTCTCACACACACATCACACACAACACACACAACACACACACATCACACACATCACACACACACCACACACACACACATCACTCTCACACACACCTGCCAGGACTTGACTTTGTTCCACAGGATCTTGAACTCCTCGTAGCCCAGCTTCCCCGTGCCGTCCGACTGCGACGGGTCAAGGGTCATCGGCTTCACGACCTCCGTGTCGGGGACACGCAGAGGGAGCCGCCCTTGCTGAGGGCCACGGTTCGTGTGTACGTGTGTTGGTGTTATGGTGTGGTCGTGTGTTCGTGTGTACGTGTGTTGGTGTTATGGTGTGGTCGTGTGTTCGTGTGTACGTGTGTTCGTGTGTACGTGTGTTGGTGTTATGGTGTGGTCGTGGGTTCGTGTGTACGTGTGTTCGTATGTTCGTGTGTACGTGTGTACATGTGTACGTGTGTTTGTGTACTTGTGTTTGTGTGGTCGTGTGTACATGTGTCCGTGTGTACATGTGTCCGTGTGTACGCGTGTACGCATGTTCGTGTGTACGCGTGTTCGTGTGTTCGTGTGTACGCGTGTACGTGTGTACGCGTGTACGTGTGTTCGCGTGTCTGCGTGTTGGTGTATTGGTGTGGTCGTGTGTTCGTGTGTACGTGTATTTGTGTTTGTGTGGTCGTGTGTACGTGTGTTCGTGTGTACGTGTGTTCTTGTGTATATGTGTTCTTGTGTATGTGTGTTCGTGTGTACGTGTGTTCCTGTGTATTTGTGTTTGTGTGTACGTGTGTTCGTGTACTTGTGTTTGTGTACTTGTGTTTGTGTGGTCGTGTGTACGTGTGTACATGTGGTTGTGTGTACGTGTGTTCTTGTGTTTGTGTAGTCGTGTGTACGTGTGGTTGTGTGTACGGGTGTTGGTGTATTGGTGTATACGTGTGTACGTGCGTACGTGTGTTGGTGTATTGGTGTATACGTGTGTACGTGTTGGTGTATTGGTGTGGTCGTGTGTACATGTGTCCGTGTGTACGTGTGTCCGTGTGTACGTGTGTTCGTGTGTCCGTGTGTACGTGTGTACGTGTGTTCGTGTGTTCGTGTGTACTTGTGTGGTTGTGTGTACGTGTGTCCGTGTGTACGTGTGCACCTGTGTCCGTGTGCACCTGTGTCCGTGTGCACCTGTGTCCGTGTGTACGTGTGTCCGTGTGTCCGTGTGTCCATGTGTACGTGTGTACGTGTCATGCCGTGTTGCTGCCTTGTCATGTCCTGTATTGTCACGGGTGGTTGTGTCATGTTGTTGTTTCGTGTCACGTGTTGTATTATATTGTGTTGTGCTGCCATGTGTTGTTGTGTTGTGTCATACTGTCATGTGTTGTCATATGTTGTGTCGTGTTGTCGTGTCATTGTGTTGTGTTGTATAGTGCTGTTGTGTCATTGTGTTGTGTTGTATTGTGATGTGGTGTCATTGTGTTGTGTCGTGTCATGTTGTTGTGTAATTGTGTTGTATCATGCTGTGCTGTGTTGTATTGTATTGTGTTGTGCCATTGTGTCGTGTTGTGTCATTGTGTTGTATCATGTTGTGCTGTGTTGTATTGTATTGTGTTGTGCCATTGTGTTGTATTGTATTGTGTTGTGCCATTGTGTTGTGTTGTCGTGTTGTGTCATTGTGTTGTATCACGTTGTGTTGTTGTGTTGTATTGGTTTGTGTCATTGTGTCGTGTCGTTGTGTCATTGTGTCGTGTTGTGTTATTGTGTTGTATGATGTTGTGTTGTCGTGTGGTTGTGTCATTGTGTTGCCGTGTTGTTGTGTGCCCGCTGAGTCAGGATACGTCCATGAGGGCCACCATGCTGCGACACGACTCCACGCTGAACCCGTCCGTCTTGAGGTCGCGGTCTGAACATGAACACACAAAGACAAAGATCCCCCGCATATCCTTCACCAGACAGGGCAAGTGCTGTTAGCGAACGCCTATGAAGGCCGACACGGCACAGTAGGGAGCGAGCGGCCAGCACTACGCCCGGCCGCCTTTGTCTCCCTAGTGACGACGTTTACACGCCGTACCAGGTGCTCGTTTGAGGCCGAGTAGACCTAGGGGAGGCCCAGGACCGGTTCAGATAATCGTCACTGCCGGTGCTGTCCGCGAGCGGGAATCGAACTCGGGTCGCCGGGTTCGTAGCGCTGACCGCTGCACCACCGCTCCCCCCCCACTACCGAACACACACAGCTACACACATTTACCGTTGCCGTGTGTACAGCGACACGGAGGGGCTCTCTGCGTGCAGTCACTCACGTTTGGTGACCACCTTGTTCAGAACTCCCTGCAGCTCCACGGGGCTGATCTCCATGTCCTACGGAACCACGGCATTCCCGCCATCAGGAAACAACATCCCGATAACCGGAACCACAGCATTCTCGCCATCAGGAAACAACATCCCGACAACCGGAACCACGGCATTCCCACCATCAGGAAACAACATCCCGATAACCGGAATACGGCATTACCGCCATCAGCAATAACATCCCGACAACCGGAACCACGGCATTCCCGCCATCAGGAAACAACATCCCGATAACCGGAACCACGGCATTCCCGCCATCAGGAAACAACATTCCGACAACCGGAACACGGCATTACCGCCATCAGCAATAACATCCCGATAACCAGAACCACGGCATTCCCGCCATCAGGAAACAACATCCCGATAACCGGAATCATGGCACTCCCGCCATCAGCAATAACATCCCGATAACCGGAACCATGGCATTCCCGCCATTAGCAATAACATCCCGATAACCGGAATCACGGCATTCCCATTATCAACATCCCGATAACCGAAACCACGGCATTCCCATTACAACTGTGTGTGTCTACTGCGTGTGTACTGTGTGTGTACTCTGTGTAGCGTGTGTAGTAGGGTGCGTATACTGTGTATGAACTATGGGTACTATGTGTACTGTGTGTGTTCACTGTGTGTGTTCACTGTGTGTGTACTGTGTGTACTGCGTGTATGTATTGTGTGTACACCGTGTGTGTACTGTGTGTTCACTGTGTGTACACCGTGTGTGTACTGTGTGTACACCGTGTGTTTACTGTGTGTTCACTGTGTGTGTACTGTGTGTTCACTGTGTGTTCACCGTGTGTTCACTGTGTGTACACCGTGTGTGTACTGTGTGTACACCGTGTGTGTATACTGTGTGTACACCGTGTGTTTACTGTGTACACCGTGTGTACACCGTGTGTTCACTGTGTGTACACCGTGTGTGTACTGTGTGTTCACTGTGTGTGTTCACTGTGTACACCGTGTGTGTACTGTGTGTGTACACCGTGTGTGTACTGTGTGTGTACACCGTGTGTGTACTGTGTGTACACCGTGTGTGTACTGTGTGTTCACTGTGTGTACACTGTGTGTGTACTGTGTGTTCACTGTGTGTGTTCACTGTGTGTACACCGTGTGTTTACTGTGTGTACACCGTGTGTACACCGTGTGTTCACTGTGTGTACACTGTGTGTGTACTGTGTGTTCACTGTGTGTGTTCACTGTGTGTACACCGTGTGTTTACTGTGTGTACACCGTGTGTACACCGTGTGTTCACTGTGTGTACACTGTGTGTGTACTGTGTGTTCACTGTGTGTGTTCACTGTGTGTACACCGTGTGTGTACTGTGTGTACACCGTGTGTGTACTGTGTGTGTACTGTGTGTGTACACCGTGTGTTTACTGTGTGTGTACTGTGTGAACACCGTGTGTACTGTGTGTTCACTGTGTGTTCACTGTGTGTGTACTGTGTGTTCACTGTGTGTACACCGTGTGTGTACTGTGTGTACTGTGTGTGTACTGTGTGAACACCGTGTGTACTGTGTGTTCACTGTGTGTTCACTGTGTGTGTACTGTGTGTACACCGTGTGTACACCGTGTTCACTGTGTGTGTACTGTGTGTACACCGTGTGTGTACTGTGTATGAACTATGTGTACTGTGTGTGTACTGTGTGTGTACACCGTGTGTGTACTGTGTGTACACCGTGTGTGTACTGTGTGTTCACTGTGTGTACACCGTGTGTGTACTGTGTGTTCACTGTGTGTGTTCACTGTGTGTGTTCACTGTGTGTGTTCACTGTGTGTACACCGTGTGTGTACTGTGTGTACTGTGTGTGTACTGTGTGTACACCGTGTGTGTACTGTGTGTTCACTGTGTGTTCACTGTGTGTGTACTGTGTGTACACCGTGTGTTCACCGTGTGTTCACTGTGTGTGTACTGTGTGTACACCGTGTGTGTACTGTGTATGAACTATGTGTACTGTGTACACCGTGTGTGTACTGTGTGTACACCATGTGTGTACTATGTATACTGTGTGTGTTCACTGTGTGTGTTCACTGTGTGTACACCGTGTGTGTACTGTGCGTGTTCACTGTGTGTGTTCACTGTGTGTACACCGTGTGTGTACTGTGTGTTCACTGTGTGTGTGTACTGTGTGTACACCGTGTGTGTACTGTGTGTACACCGTGTGTTCACTGTGTGTGTTCACTGTGTGTGTGTACTGTGTGTACACCGTGTGTGTACTGTGTATACTGTGTGTGTTCACTGTGTGTGTGTACTATGTGTTCACTGTGTGTTCACTGTGTGTACACCGTGTGTGTACTGTGTGTACTGCGTGCGTGTACTGCACCTCCCCGGCGAGCTGGTTGAACACGCGACGGAACTGGGTGTCCTCATCGCTCTGCAGGTGCGCCTGAACCTTGGGAGGCTGCAAGGCAAAACACAAAGACGACCGTCACGGGAGCCGGTGGCCACGAGCGGGAATCCAACTCGGGTTGCCGGGTTCGCGGCGCAGCGTGGCGCCAACCGCTACGCTACCGCTCGCACACACGAAGACACGCACACACGAAGACACGCACACACGAAGACACGCACACAGGAAGACACGCACACACGAAGACACGCACACACGAAGACACGAAGACACGCACACAGGAAGACACGCACACAGGAAGACACGCACACACGAAGACACGCACACAGGAAGACACGCACACACGAAGACAAAGATCTCCCCCGTATAGTCTTAACAGACTTTTGTGGCAATCGCTATTAGCAAGGAGCACCTATGAAGGCCGGCACGGCACACGGGGGAGTGGGTGGCCAGCACCACGCCCGGCCGCCTTTGTCTCCCCAGTAGCGATGCTTACACACCGCACCGGGTACTCATTTGAGGGCGAGTCGACCTAGGGGAGGCCCAGGACCGGTTCAGATAATCGTCACCGGTGTTGGCCGTGAGCGGGAATCAAACTCGGGTCGCCAGTTTAATAGCGCAGCGTAGCGCTAACCGCTACACTACTGCTCCTCAAAGACGCACAAACACACAGACACACAAACACAGACACACAAACACAGACACACAAACACAGACACACACACAAGAGCATACTCCAGTTGCAGTCTCTCTGCATGTCGCATCAACAAGACGAAGACATTTCCATCCGGAAGCAGCCCGCGGAAGGTGACATTGCAGAACTCCTGCGGAGCTCACCTCAATCGCCCCTTGCCCACACGAGGTGGTGGCGGTGGTGTTAGTGTCGCCTTCGCACACCTGTGGAGGTGTTCGTCGCGTGGCAGGGGTACGGATTGTTTTGCACATTTCTCCCGGCTGCCATTTGAGCAAGCTAAGCAACGGGTCAGATTCGACGCACTCTTCGTGCGCAGTCATTAATGTGCCTACGTTGAACTTCTCCCGCCACCGTACACAGCCGACCGTGCTAATCGGAGGCAACGACGGGGGGGGGGGAAAGACTCTTCGATCGCTGGAAAAACCCATCTCATTCACGGACGCGAGGCCGAAGCCCGGGTTCGATCCCAGGCGCTCAGCGACTCGGCGTCTCTGAGACGGCGGTCGCGCTGGGGAGAGCGCTCGAGAGCGGAGGGGACAGCGAGGGGGAAACCGGGAGATGCGGAGGGAGGGGTCACCCACCCACGAGTCTTGAGCGGTGGCGTCTGCCATCATCTGCTCACCAGAGATGGCAGCAGAGCAGAAGGGAAAGGGGAGACGCGGAGGGAGGCAGGAGAAGAGGGGAGACGCGGGGAGAGGGCAGGCAGGAGGAGAGGGGAGACGCGGGGAGATGTGGGGAGAGGGGAGACACGGGAAACGGGAGGGAAGGTGACGGGAGGAGACACAGGGAGAGGATGACAAGGGGAGACAAGAAGAAAGGGAAAGACAGGAGACATTGACAGGACGAGGGCAGACGTAGGAGCAGTAAGGGGGGGCATGTTGGTGAATGGAAGACAAAGAGAGACAGAGACACAGAAGACAGCACTCCCGTAAGACAGGACACCAAGCAGCAACATTCGGCAAAGATCAGAGCAGGCTGAGACCCAGGGCGTGCAGACACCCGCAGGACAGAGCTCCCTGGGAAGAATGAGAGCCATCATCATCATCACCACCGCCATCACCAGGTAGCGTTGCCGCACAATCCGTCCCCACGGCAGCCGATAACAACCGGTCGTGCGTTGCACCAGGCTCAAACCTGCTTAGCTTCTGAGATTGTACGAGGAGACTTGAGGCACAGGCTTACGACGGACATGAGTGTGGGGGGGGGGAAAAACTAAAATACCGATTCTTCCACACGCGGTTTTTATGCGGGTTTCCGTGTGATCGATAATATTCCCATCTGTGCGGAAGAAACGCCGACGACCAATTTGTTTCGTAATCGATTTCTGGGGTCAGATCGCCGCGTTGAGTAAAATGCGGTGTCGTGCACCCTCCGCCACCCGACAGCCAATTGACCATCTCCCGTGCCGATGACGTACGTTGTGTATGTCACGGGAACGGGATCGGAGGAAAATGTTCAAATAAAAATAACTTTTATCGGGGGGCCGAGGCTCTCCCACAAGGCCGTGCGGGACGGAGTACGGCACGGCCTGGCGCCGGCTACCGGCCGAGTCAGCTACGGTTCATTGCGGTGAGCAACGACGTCTTGAAAAACAGCGGCGCTGTTGCGTCTCTCTTAATAAAACTTAAGGACCGAGCCGCTCGTGCGCTCCGAGCTTCAGAGGCGAAGGGGACGACCCCCAGCCCACCCCAACAACTTGCAGAGAGCCTCGGAACGGCGAAGGTGTTACCAGAGTTGTCACGCGATGAACAAACGCGACCGGCGCGTCGCGGCCTCGGCAGCACCGGCGGTCGCTGATGGGCAGCGGAGCCTCGCGGCATCTCGCGATTGGGCGTCATCGGACGGTTTGCCAGACATCTGGAATGAAGCTATGAATGCGTGCGCGTGAGCGTGTGTCCGAGTACGTGTTCACGCGTACCGCGGTGGGAGTGGTTGAGGGTGTGTGCGTGACTCTCGGCTTCAGAGCGGCTACGTGGTGGGCAGCAAGAGGGCAGTGCGGCCAAATCCACTGCTTGCGACGCCTCTGCTCCACCAACCCGCGCTGACCGGCGTGGTGAAGTACGGTCAAATAAGTAATATTTTTAAAACTTTTTTTTAAACGCGCTTTAATGAAATGCACCCGACTAGTAATGGAACAACTCCAGGAAGTGGCCCCGAAGCTTGCCACAACGTAAGTGGGGCCGTGGTCAATTACAGCCAACGTCAGTTGACCGTGGACAATTAGACCCAAGCTGAAACATAACACATAAAAAATAATGTTTTAAAATATGTGTTTTTTTTTAAACACATTAGTATACATATCAGTATGACATAAGTATACCAAGTTTGCAGTCGATACCACATTGGGAAGTGGGTTAAAATTGAGTTACAAGATTTGACGATACAACAACAGAGTGAGTTAAATAAAAGCGTGTAAATAAATAACCCCCCCCCCTCCCTCCGTGACCCGCACGAGACACAGGCGGCCCGGGGCGTGGTTGCAGGCCACCACCCGCGTGCGCCGTGCCGGCCTGCACAGGTGCCGCTCGCTAGCAGCACTTGCCCCGCAGGCTATGGTGGGCCACACGGGGGGGGGGGTCCTTTGTCTTTGTGCGCGTGAATAAGCGTGGTGGATATGTTGATTGGGCGTGCACGCATGGACCTTGACCCAACAATCTGCAAGGCTGTACAGGGCACCTTTGTCTTTGGTGCGCTGTTAGAGGCCGGCACGGGACACGAGGGGGTGGGTGGTCAGCAGCACGCCCGGCCGCCTTTGTCTCCCTACAGAGGCGATGTTTGTACATCGCATCAGGTACTCTTTTGAGGCTGAGTCGACCTAGGGGAGGCCCAGGACCGGTTGAAATATTGGTAATGAGCGGGAAGCGTAGCGCAGTGCGCTAATTGCTGCACCACCGCTCCTCTAATATATACACACACATGCATACACGTGTACACATGATGACATGTGTACACTCGGCACATGTGCAGTGAACACACACACAGGTCTACACGTGTACACATGACACGTGTACACATGATGACATGCATTGAACACACACACATGTATACACGTGTACAAATGATGACATGTGTACACTCGGCGCATGTGCAGTGAACACACACACACACACGTGTACGCAGCAAAGAGCACAATGAATATAATCTGTGGTGTAGCTCTGTAACACAACACCCACGCACAGAGAGGCAAAGGTGCCCTGTACAGGCTTACAGATTGTTGGGTCAAGTTGCACGCGTGCACACCCAGTCAACACATCCACCACGCTGATTCACGCGCGCAGAGACGAAGGGCCCCTTACGAAGGCCGGCACGGCACACAAAGGGCGTGGGTGGCCAGCACCACGCCCGGGCCGCCTTTGTCTCCCTGGTGGCGATGTTCACGACACACCACGCCGGGTACTCATTTGAGGCCGAGCCGACCTAGGGGAGACCCAGGAACGGTTCGGCACACACACACACACCCAGGATCCCTCTCACGCATCCGCACCGCCCTTTGAAGCCCCCCCCCCCGCCCTGCACGTCATCGGAAACCAAATTCCACGATTCTGGGACTCGAACCAAAGTGGAAGCCGCGGGGCAGGAAACCAGTGGAGCCTGCACCAGGAGGTCACCTGACACCAGCGGGCACCGCCCTGACACCACCAGCTGCTGCTGCCCCCCCCCCTGCACCTCCCTCCTCCCCTGCCCCCCCGCCACACCCCCTACAACTCTGCACCTCTCTCCCCCTCTACCCCTTCCCCCCCTCTGCCCCCCGCCCCTTCTGCTCCTAGCCCCCCCCCCCTCTGCCTCTTCCGCCCCCAACACTACCCATAGACTCAACACTGCCCATAGACTCAACACTACCCATAGACTCAACACTACCCATAGACTCAACACTGCCCATAGACTCAACACTACCCATAGACTCAACACTGCCCATAGACTCAACACTGCCCATAGACTCAACACTGCACCATAGACTCAACACTGTCCATAGACTCAACACTGCCCATAGACTCAACACTGCCCATAGACTCAACACTGCCCATAGACTCAACACTGCCCATAGACTCAACACTGCCCATAGAGTCAACACTGCCCATAGACTCAACACTGCACCATAGACTCAACACTACCCATAGAGTCAACACTGCCCATAGACTCAAAACTGCACCATAGACTCAACACTGCTCATAGACTCAACACTGGCCATAGACTCAACACTGGCCATAGACTCAACACTGCCCATAGACTCAACACTGCCCATAGACTCAGCACTTGCCATAGACTCAACACTGCCCATAGACTCAACATAGCCCATAGACTCAGCACTTGCCATAGACTACCACTACCCATGGACTCAACCCCCCCGCCCCCCCAACAAGTCGTCAAGAGCTTTCTCTACCGCAGCTCCGCTCCCTTGACGCTGCGTGGTCAAACTTCACCAACGCCGGCCAAGCTGTGAAGGTTGCCGGCAGGCGGGCAGGGAGGAGCGCTTCAAGACGATTAGAGAGCGCCACCTCGCCACCGGCGCTGGCAGTGGTGGGCGAGTGGTGAGTGGTGAGCAGTGAGTGGTCAGTGTCTAGAGGGTGGTGAATGGTGAGTGGTGAGCAGTGAGTGGTCAGTGTCTAGAGGGTGGTGAATGGTGAGTGGTGAGCAGTGAGTGGTCAGTGTCTAGAGGGTGGTGAATGGTGAGTGGCGAGAGGGTGGTGAGTGGTGGGTGGTCAGTGTCTAGAGGGTGGTGAATGGTGAGTGGCGAGAGGGTGGTGAGTGGTGGGTGGTGAGTGGTGAGAGGGTGGTGAACGGTGAACAGTGGGTGAGTGAGTGGTGAGTGGTGAGAGGGTGGTGAGTGGTGAGCGGTGAGAGGGTGGTGAGTGGTGAGCAGTGAGAGGGTGGTGAGCGGTGAGAGGGTGGTGAGCGGTGAGAGGGTGGTGAGTGGTGAGTGGTGAGCAGTGGGTGAGTGGACATCTGTGACAACCGCTGGACACCCGTGAAAAAGAGCTTCATAGCTCATCGGATTCCTCCAGTGAAAAATAGATATTCTGATTGTGAATAGTGAGAGTGCAGTGGTGAGTTAGTGGTGAGGGTGAGCAGTGAGTCTGTGGTGATTTAGTGGTGAGAGTGAGCGGTAAGTCTGTGGTGAGAGTCTGTGGTGAGTCTGTGGTGAGTGAGTGGTGAGTTAGTGGTGAGAGTGAGCGGTAAGTCTGTGGTGAGAGTCTGTGGTGAGTCTGTGGTGAGTGAGTGGTGAGAGTGAGCGGTGAGTCTGTGGTGAGTCTGTGGCGAGTTGGTGGTGAGAGTGAGCGGTGAGTCTGCGGTGAAGTTGTGGTGAGTTGGTGGTGAGAGTGAGTGGTGAGTCTGTGGTGAGTTGGTGGTGAGTTAGTGGTGAGAGTGAGCAGTAAGTCTGTGGTGAGCTGGTGGTGAGTTGGCGGTGAGGGTGAGTGGTGAGTTAGTGGTGAGTCTGCGGTGAAGTTGTGGTGAGTCAGTGGTGAGTTAGTGGTGAGAGTGAGTCTGTGGTGAGTCTGTGGTGAGTTGGTGGTGAGAGTGAGCGGTGAGTCTGTGGTGAGTCTGTGGCGAGTTGGTGGTGAGAGTGAGCGGTGAGTCTGCGGTGAAGTTGTGGTGAGTTGGTGGTGAGAGTGAGTGGTGAGTCTGTGGTGAGTTGGTGGTGAGTTAGTGGTGAGAGTGAGCAGTAAGTCTGTGGTGAGCTGGTGGTGAGTTGGCGGTGAGGGTGAGTGGTGAGTTAGTGGTGAGTCTGCGGTGAAGTTGTGGTGAGTCAGTGGTGAGTTAGTGGTGAGAGTGAGTCTGTGGTGAGTCTGTGGTGAGTTGGTGGTGAGTTGGTGGTGAGAGTGAGTGGTGAGTTAGTGTTGAGTTAGTGGTGAGTCTGCGGTGAAGTTGTGGTGAGTCTGTGGTGAGTTAGTGGTGAGAGTGAGTGGTGAGTCTGTGGTGAGAGTGAGTGGTGAGTTAGTGGTGAGAGTGAGTGGTGAGTTAGTGGTGACAATGAGTGGTGAGGCTGTGATGAGAGTGAGTGGTGAGTTAGTGGTGAGTGCGTGGTGAGTCTGTGGTGAGTTAGTGGTGAGAGTGAGTGGTGAGTTAGTGGTGAGTGAGTGGTGAGTCTGTGGTGAGTTAGTGGTGAGAGTGAGTGGTGAGTCTGTGGTGAGTCTGTGGTGAGAGTGAGCGGTGAGTCTGTGGTGAGTTGGTGGCGAGTTGGTGGTGAGAGTGAGCGGTGAGTCTGTGGTCTGTGGTGAGTCTGTGGTGAGAGTGAGTGGTGAGGGGCCACCGCGATGCACAGGTGAAGCTCACCTGGAAAAACTCCTGCCCGATGTTCCCTCCCATCTCCCTGCACAACCACGGCAGAGGGGGGGGGGTAGGAAATGGGGGGGGGGGGGAGACACGGGCTGATCAGGACGACGATTAGCATGGTTTTCTACGTACGGTGCGAAAGAAGTTGAACGTCGTACGTGCACGGGACTCGTTGCCCGCTCGGCATTGTCCGCGAACGCTAATGTGGGGGCTGGCTTGCGACTAGAAATGAATCACCGGCGTAAGGCACTACCACTACGATACAAGGTTACGGCCATCCCATAATGTATCCAAAATAAATCACCTGGCGATGCTTGCTGCTCCAGCTGTGTTAGCAGTGGTGCACGGACTCACGCAACAACATTAGTCAATGAACGGAAACGTCTATAATAGGCGACGTTTCAGGCAATGATTGCCCTCCTTCATTATAAAAAAGGGGGCATTGCTGTGAACGAGGGTCCTTGTGTATTGCCCACATCGCTGCCAACACGCAGATTGAACATCTCCATGACACCCGCAGTACCATTCACTTGCAGCACAGTTCTATTTGGTGAAGTTAACACGTTGCCGTAAGTAGTAGCAGTTGTAGGGCGTTCCCAACCAATACTATTCCCTCCTTTTGCCCACTTCAGCAATTGTTTCTTGCTGTGGTTGTCCCACCTGATGACGGACAGCTTGTGTTGCGCCCGAAACGTCGTTATTTAATTTATTTTATGTTTTCTACCTTAAGTGACTTTACCGAAAGAACCAAAGAGTATGGATCCCTGCAGTCACGAAAACTTCAAATCTAGATATTCATAGCAACGTTTTTTTTTTGGGTGTGGTTAGATCTTCGTTAAGTATATAAATGTGTCGTCAACGCCGCCACCACCCGAACACAGCCAATCAGTGTGGGTTGGTCACGTAAACAACAGTGTGCACAATTAGTTACCGGTACGGCACACCGGGTGTGTTGGAGAGTAAAGCCACAAAATGCATTCTGAATTCTATTTGTTATCCCCTCCACAATTCCGATTGCGACTTTACCGTTCGGTGTGCAATCGCCGTGCCGTGCATCATCATCAGACGATTTATTTTTGGATTCTTTACGGATAGCCTCCCCCCCCCCCCCCGACAGCTGCGTTCCGTAAAAATACCGAACGAGCAAATTAAACGACGCTGAACTTCTTTTTCGCACCATCACGTAGCCAACCCCGTTTAAGTGCCCACTCGGAACGCTTCATAGCGGACTTCTGAAGTCACCTGGATGGGCCTCAACACGGAACTGAACACCACCACCAAGCACCTCTTCTTCTTACGTGCCCTGCGAAGAGCCCTCTATCTCGTCCATTCAACCCAAGTGTCGTCTCGTCAATTCAACCCAAGTGTCGTCTCGTTCATTCAACCCAAGTGTCGTCTCGTCCATTCAATCCCGGGGGGGGGGGGGGTTGTTGAATTCTCGGAACTGACAATGGCAGACTGATTAGCTCAGTGCGGTGTTCTTCACGAACTTTCAGAGGGGGGGGGGGGGGGGTTGGTGGGGTGTGGGTGCCACTTTCGCCGATAAGGCATCGTCGGTGTGTTGAGGGGCCGCCACACCATTTGAAACCATTGGGAGTTTGTGAGAGTAGCACGATGATGATGATGGGGCACCAGGGGGCCACACTAAAGGCCACCAGGGGGCCACACTAAAGGCCACCAGGGGGCCGCACTAAAGGCCACCAGGGGGGCCACACTGAAGGCCACCGGGGGACCACACTGAAGCCCACCGGGGGCCACACTAAAGGCCACTAGGGACCACACTAAAGGCCACCAGGGACCACACTAAAGGCCACCAGGGGGCCACACTAAGGCCACTAGGGACCACACTAAAGGCCACCAGGGGGCCACAGTAAAGGCCACCAGGGGGCCACACTAAAGGCCACGGGGGACCACACTGAAGCCCACCGGGGGCCACACTAAAGGCCACTAGGGACCACACTAAAGGCCACCAGGGACCACACTAAAGGCCACCAGGGGGCCACACTAAGGCCACTAGGGACCACACTAAAGGCCACCGGGGGCCGCCACGACTGGCGACCGAACCCAGCGGCGTCACCGACTCACTCCAGCCGAGAGGCGCCAGTTTAGCGACGCGCGACCACAGACTCCAACCTGTCCCTCGGGAGCCCATCGTGCAACATCAACCCACCACCACCACCACGCTCCCCTTGGGTGTCACTCCAATTCCCGTCTTGGTAAAGCGGCCCTCTCCTCCGCCCTGCACACCACCACGTGGCCCACCCAGTGCCGGATTAAGCTAGTGCGGGGCCTGTAGCACATGTTATAAAGGGGCCCTAAATAAAAAAAAAAAACAATATTAAAACACATACATCTTTAACTTGCATAGTAAAGTAATTGTTTTTTGTTCATTTGATATACATCCCAGATAATACGACCAATCGCTAACCTTAAACACCCAGTCGTTCGTAAAAGTCTATGGCGGTATAGTACTATAGTAATAGAACAAGTGCAGAATCACTGAACCGGAATTGATAGCTTGACAGCATTTAGCGCGGGGCCCTTGAAAGTGCGGGGTCCCTAGCTACATTTGTAGCTACTTTTGCTACTAGGATAGGCACTGGTCCCACCCATCACAAACTACCTCCTCCGATTCGTGGCAGGTATAAACCACGCTCCCCTCCTCCTCCCCACGTTCCCCTCTAAACCTCCAAGTTGCTTGCCACCACGTGGCCAAGAGAATTCCTCTAAGGAACCGGCATGCCTCTATAAAGTCCTGAAAGACCAATTAATACCCCCCCCCACACACCGTAGTACACGCATCACTTACCCAGCAACTCTCACTACCCCCGATGGTTACAATGAATGAGACCCGATAATGACGATGACTAAGACGATGATAATTGAGTGTTCGAGGTAATTATGACAGTGGTTTCAGATAAAGCAGTAATAATTACCAAGTTTAACACCTTTATCGAGTAATAATTATGAAGGTGAGTGATGATCGTGATCACACCACCATCAATGATCATACGAATTGATCAGTGAGAATGGCAGTTAAAATAAGTGACGTTACGATGATGACGTATGATGATCATCATAACAGTATCATCATAACGGTGATTATGATCATAATCAGTGATTATATAATTATGATCATAACGATGATTATATAATTATGATCATAACGATGATTATATAATTATGATCATAACCAGTGATTATGATGACGTCACTGACGAGAATGGTTGGTGGTGGTTCTCGGTTGCGGTTGTTGGTGGTAGTGGTGGGTGGTGGTGATGGTGGTAGTGGTGATGGTGGTGGTGATGGTGGTGGTAGTGGTGATGGTGGTAGTGGTGGTGATGGTGGTGGTGGTAGTGGTGATGGTGGTGGTGGTAGTAGTGGTGATGGTGGTAGTAGTGGTGATGGTGGTAGTGGTGGTAGTGGTGTTGGTGGTAGTGGTGGTAGTGGTGGTGGTAGTAGTGGTGGTGATGGTGGTGGTAGTGGTGTTGGTGGTAGTGGTGGTAGTGGTGGTGGTGGTAGTGGTGGTGATGGTAGTGGTGGTGGTAGTAGTGGTGGTGATGGTAGTGGTGGTGGTAGTGGTGGTGGTAGTAGTGGTGGTAGTGGTGGTGGTAGTAGTGGTGGTAGTGGTAGTAGTGGTGATGGTGGTAGTGGTGGTAGTGGTAGTAGTAGTGGTGGTGGTAGTGGTGATGGTGGTAGTGGTGGTGGTAGTAGTAGTAGTGGTGGTTGTTGGTGATGGTGGTAGTAGTGGTGGTAGTGGTGATGGTGGTAGTAGTGGTGATGGTGGTAGTAGTGGTGATGGTGGTAGTGGTGATGGTGGTGGTAGTGGTGATGGTGGTAGTAGTAGTGGTGGTGGTGGTAGTGGTGGTAGTGGTGATGGTGGTGGTAGTGGTGATGGTAGTGGTGATGGTGGTGGTAGTGGTGATGGTGGTAGTGGTGGTAGCTGTGGTTGTTGGTAGTAGTGGTGGTGGTGGTAGTAGTAGTGGTGGTGGTAGTAGTGGTGGTGATGGTGGTGGTAGTAGTGGTGGTAGTGGTGGTGATGGTGGTGGTAGTGGTGGTGGTAGTTGTGGTGGTAGTTGTGGTGGTGGTGATGGTGGTAGTGGTGATGGTGGTAGTAGTGGTGGTAGTGCTGATGGTGGTAGTAGTGGTGGTAGTGGTGGTGATGGTGGTGGTAGTGGTGGTGGTAGTAGTGGTGGTAGTGGTGATGGTGGTGGTAGTGGTGGTAGTAGTGGTGGTGGTGGTAGTAGTAGTGGTGGTAGTGGTGGTGGTAATGGTAGTAGTAGTGGTGGTAGTGGTGGTAGTGGTGGTGGTAGTGGTGATGGTGGTAGTGGTGGTAGTGGTGGTGGTAGTAGTGGTGGTAGTGGTGATGGTGGTAGTGGTGGTGGTAGTAGTAGTAGTGGTGGTTGTTGGTGATGGTGGTAGTAGTGGTGGTAGTGGTGATGGTGGTAGTAGTGGTGATGGTGGTAGTGGTGATGGTGGTGGTAGTGGTGATGGTGGTAGTAGTAGTGGTGGTGGTAGTGGTGGTAGTGGTGATGGTGGTGGTAGCGGTGATGGTAGTGGTGATGGTGGTGGTAGTGGTGATGGTGGTAGTGGTGGTAGTGGTGGTTGTTGGTAGTAGTAGTGGTGGTCGTAGTAGTGGTGGTAGTGGTAATGGTAGTAGTAGTGGTGGTAGTGGTGGTGGTGGTAGTGGTGGTGGTAGTGGTGGTGGTAGTGGTGATGGTGGTAGTGCTGGTAGTGGTGTTGGTAGTGGTGGTGGTAGTGGTGATGGTAGTGGTGGTAGTGGTGATGGTGGTAGTGGTGGTAGTGGTGATGGTGGTAGTGGTGGTGGTAGTGGTGGTGGTAGTGGTGGTAGTAGTGGTGGTGGTGGTGATGGTGGTGGTAGTGGTGTTGGTGGTGGTAATGATAGTAGTGGTGATGGTGGTAGTGGTGGTGATGGTGGTGGTAGTGGTGGTGGTAGTTGTGGTGGTAGTGGTGGTGATGGTGGTGGTAGTGGTGGTGGTAGTAGTTGTGGTGGTAGTGGTGGTGATGGTGGTGGTAGTAGTGGTAGTGGTGATGGTGGTAGTGGTGATGGTGGTAGTGGTGGTGGTGGTAGTAGTGGTGGTGGTAGTGGTGGTGATGGTGGTGATGGTAGTAGTGGTGGTGGTGGTGGTGATGGTAGTAGTGGTGGTAGTGGTGATGGTGGTAGTAGTGGTGGTAGTGGTGGTGGTGATGGTGGTGATGGTAGTAGTGGTGGTGATGGTGGTGATGGTAGTAGTGGTGGTGGTGGTAGTAGTGGTGGTGGTGGTAGTGGTGATGGTGGTAGTGGTGGTAGTGGTGTTGGTAGTGGTGGTGGTAGTGGTGATGGTGGTAGTGGTGGTGGTAGTGGTGGTAGTGGTGATGGTGGTAGTGGTGGTAGTGGTGATGGTGGTAGTGGTGGTGGTAGTGGTGGTGGTAGTGGTGGTAGTAGTGGTGGTGGTGGTGATGGTGGTGGTAGTGGTGTTGGTGGTGGTAATGATAGTAGTGGTGATGGTGGTAGTGGTGGTGGTGGTAGTGGTGGTGGTAGTTGTGGTGGTAGTGGTGGTGATGGTGGTGGTAGTGGTGGTGGTAGTAGTTGTGGTGGTAGTGGTGGTGATGGTAGTAGTGGTAGTGGTGATGGTGGTAGTGGTGATGGTGGTAGTGGTGGTGGTGGTAGTAGTGGTGGTGGTAGTGGTGGTGATGGTGGTGATGGTAGTAGTGGTGGTGGTGGTGGTGATGGTAGTAGTGGTGGTAGTGGTGATGGTGGTAGTAGTGGTGGTAGTGGTGGTGGTGATGGTGGTGATGGTTGTAGTGGTGGTGATGGTGGTGATGGTAGTAGTGGTGGTGGTGGTAGTGGTGATGGTGGTAGTGGTGGTAGTGGTGGTGGTAGTAGTGGTGGTGATGGTGGTGGTAGTAGTGGTGGTAGTGGTGATGGTGGTGGTGGTAGTGGTGGTGGTAGTAGTAGTGGTGGTAGTGGTGATGGTGGTAGTTGTGGTGGTAGTGGTGGTGGTAGTGGTGATGGTGGTAGTGGTGGTAGTGGTGGTGGTAGTAGTGGTAGTGATGGTGGTAGTGGTGGTGATGGTGGTGGTAGTGGTGGTGGTAGTGATGGTGGTAGTGGTGATGGTGGTAGTGGTGGTGGTAGTAGTGGTAGTGATGGTGGTAGTGGTGATGGTGGTAATGGTGGTGGTGGTAGTAGTGGTAGTGATGGTGGTAGTGGTGGTGGTGATGGTGGTGGTGATGGTAGTGGTGGTAGTGATCGTGGTAGTGGTGGTGGTAGTAGTGGTGGTAGTAGTTGTAGTGGTGGTAGTAGTTGTAGTAGTGGTGGTGGTAGTGGTGGTGGTAGTAGTAGTGATGGTAGTAGTAGTAGTGGTGGTGGTAGTGGTGATGGTGGTGGTAGTGGTGGGGATGGTGGTGGTGGTAGTGGTGGTAGTGGTGATGGTGGTGGTTGTTGGTGATGGTGGTAGTGGTGGTAGTGGTGATGGTGGTAGTGGTGGTGGTAGTAGTGGTGGTGATGGTAGTGGTGGTGGTGTTGGTAGTGGTGATGGTGGTGGTTGTTGGTGATGGTGGTGGTGGTGGTTGCTGTGGCGCAGTTTTTTTTCCACTGCACTCCCCATCCCGGGCCCCCCTCCTCCTCCGCTGCTGCCCCCCACTACCACCACCCCCACTTACCCGACCACTTGGAGGAAGCCCCCCGCGAGACGGTTGAACATGAACATGATGGCCCAGAGTGGGGAGAGAGCGCGAGGCGTCAGCGAGCTACAGAGTTGGTGGTGGCGGTGGTGGTGCAGGAGGCCGTAGTGGTGGCGGTGGTGGTGCAGGAGGCCGTAGTGGGGTTGACACTGGGAGTGGCGGGGGGAGGAGTCAGCGGGGAGCAGGGGCGGAGCCAGGGGGGAGATGGGAGGGGCGGAGCCAGGGGGGAGATGGGAGGGGCGTAGCCAGGGGGGAGATGGGAGGGGCGGAGCCAGGGGGGAGATGGGAGGGGCGGAGCCAGGGGGGAGATGGGAGGGGCGGAGCCAGGGGGGAGATGGGAGGGGCGTAGCCAGGGCGGAGATGGGAGGGGCGGAGCCAGGGGGGGAGATGGGAGGGACGGAGCAAGGGGGGAGATTGGAGGGGCGGAGCCAGGGGGGAGATGGGAGGGGCCACGATTCCGATCCCTCCCCCTTACCCCCCCTCGCCCCCCCCCTTACCCCCATTCACTCGTCACCCGTCCGCACCGCATGATGTGTGTTCGCGTGTTTGTGTTTCGTGTTGGGGGAGCGGTGGCGCATTGATTAGCGTGCCGTGCTGCGCTGCAGGAGCAGACGGTGGCTAGGAGATGTTGACTACCTCGCCTGGTGTACAGGAGGTCCTGGGTTCGATCCCGACCCTGACGCCTGCTGCTGTATATTTGGAGTCTGCGTCTCTCTCTCAGCATCATCACGGAGGCTAGGAGATGTTAACTACCTCGCATGGTGTACAGGAGGTCCTGGGTTTGATCCCGACCCTGACGATGCCTGCTGCTCTATATTTGGAGTCTGCGTCTCTCTCTCACTCTCATCATCATCACGGTGGCTCGGAGATGTTGACTAGCTCGCCTAGTATACAGGAGGTCGTGGGTTCGATCCCCACCCTGACGCCTGCTGCTGTATATTTGGAGTCTGCGTCTCTCATCATCATCACGGTGGCTAGGAGTCTGCGTCTCTCTCTCAGCATCATCACGGAGGCTAGGAGATGTTAACTACCTCGCATGGTGTACAGGAGGTCCTGGGTTTGATCCCGACCCTGACGATGCCTGCTGCTCTATATTTGGAGTCTGCGTCTCTCTCTCACTCTCATCATCATCACGGTGGCTCGGAGATGTTGACTAGCTCGCCTAGTATACAGGAGGTCGTGGGTTCGATCCCCACCCTGACGCCTGCTGCTGTATATTTGGAGTCTGCGTCTCTCATCATCATCACGGTGGCTAGGAGATGTTAACTACCTCGCTTGATATGCAGGAGGTCCTGGGTTCGATCCCGACCCTGACGATGCCTGCTGCTGTATATTTGGAGTTTGCGGTGTCTCTCTCTCCCTGTGATTGCGTGAATTTTTCTCCGGGTCCTCCGGTTTTTCCCCTCCACATTGAGAATCAACATCACGCGTTTTAGAGTATTTGACTGCTCTATATTTCCACGTGATAAGCGACCACTTCGTTGAGCTATCTTTTGTGATGGCCAGGTCGTGTATGAATAAGAGCTACATCGCTCAGTGGGGCGTTGCCTGGTCAAATAAACATTTTGCTAATTTTAGTTTTAACAATTACAGCGAATATCAAAACCGGTCCTCTGGGCTTCACCTCGGTCGACTCAGCCCTAGCAGCGACGGTCACTGCATCATCATCGCGTGGCGCTTTCAGATGCGCTTCTGCGGCCGTCTGGAACGCTCTTCCTTCCGATATTAGGCAATCACTGGGAGCGATGCACATTGAAACCATCACCATCTAGATTTAAAACTAATTTATTGAGAGCAGCTTTTAGTTACTGGTTTCCTGTCCTTCCCCCGCACGGTGCGAAATAAGTTCAACACCCGGGTGCAGTATGCAGTAACCATCAGCACTGGGGAGACAAAGGCGGCCGGGCGTGGTGCTGGGCCACCCACGCCATCGTGCGCGAAGTCGGCCCCTATAATTCGCAAGGCGCTGCTCGCCAACAGCGCTCGCCGCAACAGTCTGTTCAGGCCACACGGGGACCTTCCAGGGAACGAGACCACACCCTTGCCATGACTCATGCCCAGTGAGACGAACCTTTGTGTGCGTGTGTGGCTGTGTGTGTGTATGTGTGTGCGGGTGTGGTTGTGTGTGTGTGGTTGTGTGTGTGTGGCTGTGTGTGTGTGGCTGTGTGTGTGTGGCTGTGTGTGTGTGGCTGTGTGTGTGTGGCTGTGTGTGTGTGGCTGTGTGTGTGTGGCTGTGTGTGTGTGGCTGTGTGTGTGTGGCTGTGTGTGTGTGGCTGTGTGTGTGTGTGTGTGGCTGTGTGTGTGTGTGTGGCTGTGTGTGTGTGTGTGGCTGTGTGTGGCTGTGTGTGTGTGTGGCTGTGTGTGTGTGTGGCTGTGTGTGTGTGTGGCTGTGTGTGTGTGTGTGGCTGTGTGTGTGTGTGGCTGTGTGTGTGTGTGGCTGTGTGGCTGTGTGTGTGTGTGGCTGTGTGTGTGGCTGTGTGTGTGTGTGGCTGTGTGTGTGGGCAAGGTCCCATCGGTGAGCTCCTCCGGCAGGCAAGGCTGCGTTGGCAGGGTCATGTAGCCCGCATGCCCAGCCACCGCATGCCGAAACAGCTTTTGTTCGGCCGGATTGAGGGGGCTAAACGGGCGCGGCACGGGCTAGAGAAGAGATGGAGTGATGTGGTACAGGAGGACGTGGAGCTGAGTGGACTTGCCGATGACTGGTACCAGCGGTGTCAAGATCGGCCTCTGTGGAGGAGGCTCGTGAAGGACGCTACTGGGCAATTGGAGGCAGTCGCCCTCCAACAACAACGGAGGGCGGAGGAGCGACGCTCACAACAACGAGCGGAGCGCCGGGTGGCTAAAGCACAGCAGGTTGGCACAGTAGGGGGCACAGGTGGTGCATCAGCCAGTCATCTCAGTCATCTCAGTCAGTCGACCCGTGGCACCTGGGTCTGCCCCGTGACCTCCTGCCAGTGGGCGTTCGACACTTCACGTGGCTTCAAGGTTCATGTTTTTGTTTGTTGCGGTTGCACCCGATTCAAGAGCCGAATGGCTCACAGGGCTGTACCAAATAAATGGAACTATGGAACTAAGGTGCACATGGCCTGGCACAAGCGTCGTGGTGACGTCACCGCCACTTAGTGGCGAATGGCGGTTGTTGTTGTTGTGTGGCTGTGTGTGTGGCTGTGTGTGTGTGTCTGTGGGGAGCGGTAGTGTAGCGATTAGCGCGCTGCGCTACGAACCCGGCTACGCGAGTTCGATTCCCGCCCACGGCCAACACCGGTGACGATTATCTGAACCGGTCCCGGGCCTCCCCTAGGTCGACTCAGCCTCAAACGAATGCCTGGTGCGTGTGGTGCTGCCCACCACCCACCCCGTCGTGTAACCGTGCCGGCCTTCACAGGTGCTGCTCGTGCCGGCCTTCACAGGTGCTGCTCGCTGACAGCACTTGCCCCACAGAGACTGTCGCAGGCTACACCGCGGGGGGTGGGGATCTTTGCGTGTGTAAGCATGAGCACAATCATCTGCACGGTGCATCGGGACACGAGTGGGCCCCCGGAATGCCCAAGGACACGCAACGCCGAGGAGATCGCTGGAGGCGGCAGCTCCCGCTACGTCTCAACACGAAGCCGGCATGCGGCCGACGTCCTGGGTTCGAATTCACGTTTCAGCAGTGGCGTAGCGGCGAACTTATCAGCTTCGGGTCTGGTGGAGGGCACGGTGGGGGGCACGGTGGGGGGGGGGGGGACCTGGGACCCCCCCCCCTGCCCACTATTTGATTTGCGCAATTTGCGGAAGCCAAAAATCACCGCCGCTCCTTGAATTAAATGAATAAAAAATAAAATAGTGGAATGATAAATGATAGCATTAAACCGCGTTGTATATAAGTGTTTGTTATTGTTGTTGTTCTTTTAACGCAAACTGTTTGTTGGTGATTGTCAAGAGGGGGGTCCCCGACTCGTAGCTTTGGTCACCAAGGGGGGGGGGGGGGGGGGCAAGGCACCCGCCCTGCCACCCACGCTCGTCACGACAGCGGTGTCAGCCACTGCCCGTGATGGCATCAGGTTCTCAAGCGCGGCCCAGTCTCCAATGAACAATAGAGACCCCATAGACATAGAGACCCCATATAAATAGAGACCGCATAGACATAGAGACCCCATAGACATATAGACCCCTTAGACATATAGACCCCTTAGACATAAAGACCCCATAGACATAGAGACCCCATAGACATAGAGACCTCATAGACATAGAGACCTCATAGACATAGAGACCCCATAGACATAGATACCCCATAGAGATAGATACCCCATAGACATAGAGACCCCATAGAGATAGAGACCCCATAGAGATAGATACCCTATAGACATAGAGACCCCATAGACATAGAGACCTCATAGACATAGGGACCCCATAGACATAGAGACCCCATAGAAATAGGTACCCCATAGACATAGAGACCTCATAGACATAGAGACCTCATAGACATAGATACCCCATAGACATAGAGACCCCATAGACATAGAGACCTCATAGACATAGATACCCCATAGACATAGAGACCCCATAGACATAGAGACCCCATAGACATAGAGACCCCATAGACATAGACATAGAGACCCCATAGACATAGATACCCCATAGAGATGAAGACCCCATAGACATAGAGACCCCATAGACATAGAGACCCCATAGACATAGAGACCCCATAGACAGAGACCCCATAAACATAGAGACCCCATAGACATAGAGACCCCATAGACATAGAGACCGCATAGACATAGATACCCCATAGACATAGAGACCCCTTAGAGATAGATACCCCATAGACATAGAGACCCCATAGACATGGAGACCCCATAGACATAGAGACCCCTTAGACATAGCGACCCCATAGACATAGAGACCCCTTAGACATAGATACCGTATAGGCATAGAGACCCCATAGAGATAGAGACCCCATAGAGATAGAGACCCCATAGTGATAAAGACCCCTTAGACATAGACCCCATAGAGATAGAGACCCCATGACATAGAGACCCCAAAGACATAGAGACCCCATAGAGATAGAGACCCCATAGACATAGAGACCCCATAGACATAGAGACCCCATGACATAGAGACCCCAAAGACATAGAGACCCCATAGAGATAGAGACCCCATAGACATAGAGATCCCTTAGACATAG